ATATATACCTTCAACTTTATAAAACAAAAATTTTAAAAACTTACGCTAGACGCCTTCTAGCCTAGCACTTTTAGTTTAAGGATTCCAAAGTAATGCACAGTATTTCATCTTAGAGCGAACGTATGCAAAGTACAAAGAAGTTAGAGCATTGACGTTGGTAAATGAGACCCTATGGTATAATCATATGAATAACAAAAACAGTAGTGGACCCAAATTGGAGCCCTGAGGGACTCCAGATAACGAATAATTAATTAATCACTGAATCTGGAGTACATTCAAATTATTGTTACGACGGTTACATTTGCTTATGGTGTTAAACTATTCATTTTAAGAATCTAGAGAATACCACACCTGTTAGGTACATTAAATTTCCACCAATCGCGATTGCATTAACTCCTTGTTGCGGAGAAAAATTGCCCCTATTCTCACACGGGATGGGAAAGCCGGGTGACGTACAGATTTTACTCAAAAAATCTCGGGCAGAGTGCGGCTCGCCTAAACTCTTGTAGAGTGAATACACCTGTTTAAAAGGCAGCACATCACGATACTCAAACAGCGAGCATGCTAAAAACTTAATTGTACTTCGTGCCACTGCCACCTTTACCACTACCACTTGTAAAGTAAGGCCTGGCATAAACCACATCAGTCAAAAACCTTGCAAAGATCGTCGCGAGCACGCCGTCATTTTTGCAGTCTCCCGTAACCGTCTCGGCCGCGTGAAATTTCCACGCCAAACACACTAGGAGTTGCAGAAATTGCCAAAAAAAGACCTCCTCGAACGGATCATGGCACCATTTCAATCCGCTGTTTGGATTTTGTAATAAAATCAAATCAATCTCGACGAGTGAGTAATCAGAAGTGATGTAGTCGAAGTCTCGTAACATTTGCCACAGGAAGTAACGTATTAGCGTTGGCTTAAAATCTGTAGTGTGATTCGTCGCGATTGTCGCGTACTTATTATACACCCTGTACAGCTTTGGAAGGTTGGCGAGTATGGCGTTCTGCATTTCTCTCCTCTCCACCTCAGACTGGTGACTTTGGAAGTTGGAAATGAGCGTTTGACTTTCGTCTTCGCAGTGTCTGTTAAGGTTGAATTAAAAACTGATGCAGGTACTCTCGGACACTTACTGATAATCAGTTGATAATTGAATCTTGTACAATTCCGTTGTGTATCTTTCCACGGCCAAACTATAATAGTAGGAAAAATCGGTAGTTTCCGCCGGTAAATGCGCGGCAAATTGCTTGTCACTTTTCGACTCTAAAAGATTCCTACGACTCGAGATTAGCGCACTGGAGTGTGGTGCCGAACAGTTCTTGTGCAATTCGCCTGGTTCGATGATTAATTTGTCATTTTGAAATAGGGGATCTTGATGCACCACTGTTCCGTTTCCGCAAGTAAGGGTGCCGCTCCCATGTTTTTCGTCATGTACCCATTCCCCATCAAAGCTCAAACCATTGTCATAGCCGAAATGCATAGTGCCTAAAGTTTAGGAAATTGAACGCAATCAAATTGGTGGTATTCCTACTCACCGGTCCCTTCTCTGGTACCATCCGTCCAATTCCCTTTGTATACATTTTCCACGGGGAAGGTAAAGGATCTGTTGATGAATGTATTCCACGTGTACTCACCGTAACCGTTCATTTTTCCATTCGTCCATCTCCCTTTGTACACCTGTTTTTTTTATGCAGACATCAAGAAAGAAAATTAAAAACATTTACATCATTGCTGCACCATACAAAAACACCACTACCATCCTGGCTTCCCCCACTCCAATGACCTTGATATATTTCACCCGACTTGTAACTGCGCACGCCCACGCCTTGCCTTTGATCTTCAAACCATTCGCCGTCATACCAGTCATCGGTCTCGTAAAGCAGCCAGCCCTGACCGTGCTTTTTGCCACCCTTCCAATTGCCCGAATAACGTAACGTACTCGCGCTAACATTGATAACTCCATAACCGTGTAGAAGACTGTTACAAAACTCTCCAGTGTACATGGTCAAATCGGGGTACTGTAACGTGCCGTGGCCGGTTGCGAACCCGCAAACGAAATCTCCCTACGAAACGGCTTCAAATCTCACATACAGCCAGTCCGCATACCTCATAAATCGAACCATCGGCCCATTTGTACTTCCCGCGACCGTGCATTACACGTTTACTCGTACCTCCCTCGTAACAATCGCCATTTCTAAACCTGATTACAGCACTCTCATCGGGCACGTTAACAATCCATTGTACGCTAAGGGAATCAACGGGATTTTTAGCCAAACTGTCACGCGACGCACTCTAAAAACGCCATGGTTTAAATGCAAAGGAAAGCGAGATACCTTTTTTGAATTTCTTCTCATACTAGATCGGCTGTTATTACTCGAAGCTTGCGACTTTTCGCTGATTATCGACAGCTTGCGTTTTGGAGAATCACGCCTACCTGCACCAGGTCGAAATAATGAATTGTTATCGAGGAAATAACCTACCCGATTTGTGGCTTTCGTCACTTTCTCTCCGCAGACTTAGCGTGCTGGTACTGGAAGCCTCTTTGCGTTCTTTGCATTCGGGTGGTTTACACGGACAGGGATTCTCCGAGGGTATCGACTCCCAACGGTCGACCACTATGTCTAACATACTTGTGAAAAAAAGAAATACCAGCTCGTCTTGGTAATTGGTAGGTTTTACGTCTTTGACATCTAAAGATGAGGACGTTGCCACCTTTTCGACTGTTTCTTCGCCGAATAACTCGATCAGCGATTTTTTCTCGCTGGACCGTTTGCGGGCACGGGTCGCGCTACTGCTTGACTGTTTTGTTAAACTCATCGTGTGACAGCATATAGTGTCTTGAACTGGCAGATACGTAGGTTGTCATGGTTATCAAATTATTAGTAGCATTTGTGTAGGACGAATCTCTTAGAAAATTTTGTCACACGAAAACCAGAATATTGTAAAAGACGATGACCGTTAATCACTTTTTTGTGTTTTACTAATACCGGTATAGCACCGCCGCACCGTACCCACGCACCTATCCTATATATATTTGTAAGCGAGGTGTGGTGGCGTGATGCATTAAGGCCAGGAACTACTGATTTTCATTTTCGATGTGATTCTTTACGGCTCGCATCCGCGCCAAATTTGTCGTTAAGAGATCAAACTTCTTTATCTCCACGTGTACAGTTAAAAACCCCAACCCGGCAACGCATAAATATTAATGTGCAGGACTTCTCTGTAGCTAACACAACTTACTGATTTGCCCTTCAGTGTGTCAATATTATCTGACTTTGCTAACAGTTTTCTTTATCGCAATTTCACTGTCTCAGATCGACCCGGAAAAAATTTTTCTTATAGAATGTGGCCTGTAGAATCCATAATTTCAAACAGTTCCTAGATTGGGCTACTAGTTCAAAAGTTACAGCCCTTTGAATTTTCTTTCGAAATTAGTTTCTTTTCGAGTGTATAACTTTTTATTGAGAAGTCTGATCGAAAAAGTACGAATTGTTTTGGATTCTACGCACCAAAATTAATAAGAAAAAGTGTTTTCCCGAGAAATTTTGGCGCAGTCGATTTTTGGTAAAAAAGGAAGGTTATACACTGCCTTTTTTTGAGCCCCGACAAAAAAATTGTCTCTGATCGGTCCGGAAAAAAAATGTTCTTATAGAATGTGGCCTTTAGAATCCTTAATTTCAAACAGTTCCAAGATTGGGCTACTAGTTCAAAAGTTACAGCCCTTTGAATTTTCTTTCGAAATTGGTTTCTAGTCTATAACTTTTGATTGAGGAGTCTGATCGAAAAAGTACGAATTGTTTTGGATTCTACGCACCAAAATTAATAAGAAAAAGTGTTTTCCCGAGAAATGTTGGTGCAGTCGATTTTTGGTAAAAAAGGAAGGTTATACACTGCCTTTTTTTTGGCGCGAAAAAAAAAAATAATAATAATAGTATTTTATTCCATAGACAAACTAGTTTGTGTGGAAATTGTCAACAAATATTTAAATTACGAGTAGGTACATTAAGTATTATATAGGTAAAAAACAAATTACACATTAAATAGCGACAAACAAGTTACATTAACCAGTAAAATATTCACTTATATCATAGTGACATTTGTCAACTAGAAACAAATATAATTTTTCTTTAAAGATTGATAATTGCCTACAGTTACGTATTATGTGAGGTAAATGGTTATAGGTCTCAGATCCACCCGAAAAAAAATTTTCTTATAGACTGTGGCCTGTAGAATCCATAATTTCAAACAGTTCCTAGATTGGGCTACTAGTTCAAAAGTTACAGCCCTTTGAATTTTCTTTCGAAGTTAACCACTTGACATTTCAGTGTGTTCTGTCACTTCTTGTCCCTTGTCGTGTGTTTCTCCTTCCGGATAGAAAAGTATTATTAAATAAAGCAAATACAAGAAGCAAAGTGTCAACTAGTAATGTGAAGCCGTGACAATTACAGGTGACACTGTCAAAACAGTATAATTAATAATTATAGCACGGAGTGTACCATGTCAGGTTTCTATTGGCCAGTCTGGAATTTAGCTCCAATATGGCGACCGGAACCAACGACCAATCAAAAACGAGATACCCTGTTGTCGCCACTGTCTCTATAAAGTCACTGTAATTTTAGTAATCAAAGTGGTCGGAAGCTACAGTCTTGACCAAAGTGAAAATATATTTCACAATCTCTGCAATTAATTATATCTTATCTGTCTCAATGTTTAGGTGTAATGTGATCTTTTACCGATATTATCGATCAATCTCATTGATACACAAGACATACAATTTGAAAGATAAAATTGATATCTGGAAAAAATGCACGCATTGTCGGTTAAATCTATGCTGATAAAGATACTATGTAGTCTCACGTAGCAAATTTGAAATTTATCACAAGCGAGATTAGATAGAGAACTGCGTTCAATAATACAATCCCCTTAACCCAAATAGCTGAAGTAACTCGATTGTTTTCGAGTTTCGCGGCAAAACAGGCCACTGTAGAGGTAAGAAGTAGAATAGTTTCCCGATAGCATTGCTTTTATTTATAAAATTCAAATAAGATTATACATGTATCAAAATTAAACCTTCTCGCAACAATTTTTCATCTTAGCGCTAGCAAAATTAAATTAAACACGAATAGGTTCGGTTTCCTTCCACAGCCAACTCTTGACATCATCCAAACCCTGTTTGCTTAGAAGAGGACCGATCACGTCACGACAAACCTGATGGTACGCGTTCAACTGCGAAATTTCTTGGGCCGTTAGCATATCCACCTTGATCAATTTCAATTGTTTCGGGAACAAGGTGATGGTATCGAAAGTTAAAAATCCGCGATTATTAAAATTGTGCGGGGAGTTCGCGTGAGTAACGTGAACGATATCCTCGATGCGGATTCCGAACTTGCCGTCCTCGTAATAACCGGGCTCGTTGGAAAGAAACATGTCGGCTTCTAGACCGGGGTCGTTCGGGTAGTTCCTCCACGACATGCCCATGGGTCCTTCGTGTACATTAAGGTACGAGCCGATGCCGTGGCCCGTTCCGTGGGCGTAGTCCAATCCGACGTCCCACAGGTACTGGCGGGCGAACGAGTCCAAGCAGTTGCCCTTAATTTTGGAGGGAAATACCACTCTACCTAGTCGCAGTTGGCCTTTAAGCACGCGCGTGAAGCATTCCTTTTCGAATTCTGACGGTGTGCCGAAATGCACAGTTCTGGTCACGTCCGTTGTGCCGTCCTTATATTGGGCACCGGAGTCGCACAAGTACAATTCGTTAGCGGTGATCTGGGAATCGGTGCTCGAATGCGGTTGGTAATGTATAATGGCGCCGTGTGGGCCTACGGAGCTGATTGTGCAAAAGCTGGGACCGACGTGATCCGCCTGCTGCTCCCGGAATTTCTCCAACTTGTTTGCACCGGAAATTTCGGTTACCTTCTCAGTGTGTATCGCCTTCTCTAACCAGGAGAAGTAGCAACAAAGAGCTACGGCATCCTTGATGTGGGCATTTTTCATTCCCTGTATTTCCACCGGGTTTTTAACCGCTTTCATTAAAGTTGCCGGAGTAACCTCAGTTTTAAGCCTCTTCTCTGGGACAATGCTAGTCAACGCGTAGCAGGCATCGGTTGACAACCACACAAATCCTTCGGACACCTTCGCTATCGATTGCTTTAAAACTTCCTTCACTTTCATATATGGCTCTATCTTAATATTGAGGTCGGTTTCGGCGGCGAAGTGTGCCTGGACTGCCGGTGTAACCTTCGACGAATCCACCAACAGAACGACCGAATCCGGCAAAATAATAACGAAAGCGAAAAATACCGGATTATACTCCACGTCGCTACCTCTCAAATTCAAAAACCAAGCCACATCGTCCAAGGCAGTCAGCACTAAAATGCTCGCGTTCGAGTCCTTCATTTGTGCACGAATCTCCTTCAACTTTTGACTGATCGATTTGCCGGCAAACTTCAGCTCGAGCGGCACAATTGGATTATTAACGGGTGCCTTTTTATCGGTCCACACTAAGTCTATCAGATTTGGTTCTACGGCTACTAGATCAAAGCCGACAGTTTGCAGCTGTTGCTGACAGGTCGTCCAGTTGGAGTGCGATATTACGTTCGGGTCGACTCCGACGCACGAGTTGGGGGGTAAGTTTTTCGTCAGCCATAATTCTGAAAAATTTAATTCCCTCTCAATACATTGCACGTTATTACAGTTTCACAAAGAGATGAATTATGGTAAGTGACCCAAAAACTTACCGTAGTAAATTTAGGCGTAACTTGCAGTTTGATCACAATGGTCACAACCTCAATCAACACCTAGTAGTCACATTGTCCATTAGTGGTCGTATTTTTTTGACGAATAAATTTGATTTTTGTAGTGACCGTTAAAACCGGGTAAGAACTTCTGTGGACAATGTTATCAGTAGAAGTTGGTGGAGGTTATTGTTAAAAAGGAGATTCTAATCAGTTTTTAAAACGGATATCAAACAAATCCGTTAAATCCTTGGATTGATCGTGCCTAGGGGGAAACAACTTTGAATTTTTGGTGTACAACCATTTGAATTAACGCGAATTAATTTGAATTAACGTAAATTAATTTGAATTAACGTGAATTTTTTTTAGGCATCGACAATGAAGGGCATTAGCCATCATCTCTTAGGTATTATTTGGTGTTCAAAGTAGGTCCTTTAATTCCGATCGCTTAAAGAACTCTAGGACGTTATGTATTTCCTTTATCCACATATCCCTCATATTAACGTGAATTAACGCGAATTAATTTGAACTAACGAGAATTAATTTAAATTAACGTGAATTAATTTGAATTAACGTGAGTTAATTTGAATTAACGTGAATTATTCTGAAATGATTTGAATTTGTTTGCATTTCTGTATCACTTACAAGAAACACTAACTTTCGTAATTATGAACTGATTTTTGACCAAACTTTTAAGTTTGTGAATTTACACTTTTTGGAATAAAATGGCGGCCACTTTTATATTAGCGTCGAATTTTAAACGAGACGAGAGTTGTGCTTTCTCCCAATCTGATTGTTTTATTTGTTAAGATATTTAAATGAAATTTTGCTGATCATAATATTCAAAACAGCGAAGTATTGTTTCGTTTATAAGAGCAGCCACTTCTCCGCCTCTTTCGATTTCTATGCCTGTGTTGACTAGCCGTTTATATACAAGCAGTTCCAGCATATAAATAAAAAAAATTAACGCGAATTAACTTGAATTAACGGGAATGAACTTGAATTAACGGGAATTAATTTGAATTAACGTGAATTGATTTGAATTTTTGGTGTACACCAAAAATGGTACTTGTTTCCCCCTAGGATCGTGCCTTGTAAAAATGCATTTATTGTAGGTTTTGTAATCACATTGGTGATTTTTAAAATCCTGAGAAGGACTGTGTGATAACAAATGGTTTTTTAATTGCGTTTCAAGTTGCATAATCACACTGAGCACATTTAAAATTCTTGAAAGTACTGTGTTTTATTTCAACGCTTATACTTGTATTATAAAATATCGTCCAAGATCTCAGGGCCCCCAGACCTTACTTATTTTCTGATGGACAGCGTATGTACAATAGAGTAGTATTATTGTGTACAATGAACGTACACATATCTCCTAGCTTGGGCCAATTCTCGAAAATTGTACTCATCCATATTTATATCGTTCCATTTGAAATTTTCAAAAAAAAACTGCAAAGTTTATGTTAATGTCACATCGCGCCCTCTACCACTCATCACATTTACTAAAACGATTCTATTCATGTAAAATCTGATTCCACGAAGAGAGCTCTTTCCAACAAGACCTATTATGTGAAAATCTGTTGACCTAAACCGAAGTTACATTCAATTCCTTAAAGCGATGTTCTCCTTCCCCCACCCCTAATATTTTATGAGCTACAGCAATATGTGCTGCATCAAAATGATGCAAAATTGAAACAAGATTGAATTTTTTGGGTATATTTTAGGAAAAAAGTTATTTTTCTACTTAACCATGAATCGTACGCCCTCTAGCGGCGAAGTTAGAAACTTGAAAATAATTTCCAGCGGTTTATCTTGGCCTCTTTTGTTAACAAATTTTTTTTTCCGAAACTGTGCAATTAACGGTTCCATAAATAATTAATGGGACACCCTGTACATATTTTGTTTATCAGAAAATAAGTAAGGTCTGGGGACCCTGGATTCTTCCTCTAATAGAAAATAAGCACAATCGTGTTGCTAACCGTCCCGTATTTCCCGGGACGTCTCGTATACAGGGTGTTTTTTTGGGAGCTTTAGTTAAAAGTTTCTGGGAAAGTAAAATAGGTAGGTTTTTGAAAATTTGTACTTAGGAGTTACTCTGAAGGACGAATCGATGTAAAATATTTTCAAAATGGCCGCACTTCCGGAAACACCGGAAGTAGATAGTAACTTCGTTATTTTAAATGGCAACCCCTATTTTTTATTGCTTTTTTGGATTCTACGTGAAATTTCACTTCTTTTGATACCCATATGTCGATATCTACCATTTATGGTTTTTTAAGTTATTTTGACTTTAAGAAAAAAAATGGCGGATGCAGATGGTACCTTGATAATTGATTACTTGCAAACGGTTGTAGTCATGGCAACCTATTTTTATCAGTGCATAGAGAATGAATATGGCTTTCTTTTAGTGCACTTAAAAAAAAGTTAAGTTGCGTACGACCGCCCCTATGGATATCCAAATTTATGAAACTTCAAAGACTAAAAACTCAGTTTTTTTAAATGGAATGACCATGTTCTTACTATTCCATGAGATAGAGAATCGAAATGGGCATATTTTGACAATGCATGTTCCTATAGCTATCTTTAACAGTTTCTGACTTATTCCCATTTTATTGAATTGACACTATTTTTTTCGGATTTTCTTTTTAGTAGTCGGCCATGATTCTATAACAATTGAATTTTAAACAAATCTAGTGACACTAATCCATCACCCACTGTTATAGGTTAACATAAGTTTTTCAAAAATCGAGAAATGACTCGCAGTGGTTTCACCTATTTTGGAATTTAATTGTTATTTATGGTGAAATGGGCAGAAGCGCAGCGCGTGCTTTCCGTACATTCATTCGAAAACTGGAACGAAATTGTATGAATTTTGGAAATTTTGTACCCCTAATGCACTTACAAACCGTTGAAGCAGAAGTGATACAAAGCTCTACAAGAGAATATTTAACAAAATGAATTGAATTGCAAATGCAAGATTAACAAAATAAATTCAATGCAAAATATAAAAAACTTCGTTGAAACATTTTTGGTATGGAATTGTTGCTAGAACAGACCTCTCTTAATTTCCAGACTTATACGTTGTTTAAGAAATTCAGTTGAACGACTCCCAAAAACTGAAGCAGTTATAAACAGTAGGCCATTTACCATTTTTTCATCTCTTTCATAATAATCGAGCTACTTATAGGGCTATGAAAAGTAAGACGCTATTCGACTGTTGTTTGACATGCAGTAGGCTATGACCTGTTCAAACAAAACAATATCATGCTTCAATCCCTCCCATGAATCGTCACATTTTTCCCATTTAACCAACAGTGTGAATCTAAAGAATTCCGTGATTCTAATGGTGTGGACGTTGGCCAAGTCACGCTCTATATGAATTTTCAATAAAAGTCTTGCAATTGAGACAAATTCCCTGTACTTAGAGATCAACAATACAGATATCGGTACTTGTATATTGGGCTACTTAGCCACAATTTCTATTACATGGCCTATGTTAAATGTCACGAAAGGTATTAATGTCTCATCAGGACGAAATTTAACTACGTAAGTTGCTGTCACAAACAAATAAATATTGACTTAAAAGAGAGACTATATACAAATTTTAAGCATAACAAAATATTTTAAACCACAAAACCATCATTTCTCACCAAATATGATTATACACTGTAGACTGTATTCAAGATAAGATGGTCACCCTCGTGGTCACCTCAATACCTCGTTTATTTGGCGAATACGAAAAATTTGTCAAATATAAATGAGACATTCCGATCTCATATGGAAACTGCCGATATTACTCCAGATTTCCTGTTTTTTTTAAGATTAAAAAGAAAACCCGACAACATGAAAAAGGTATATGGTTGTGGAAAAAAAAATATAGAAATTCGTGATTCAAAAATGATGAAATCTAGCTTGCCGGGTGCCATTTCACACAGAAAAAACCTATAACAACTTGTTGAATTATTCATTTTGAAGATTTATTTTTGCGCAATACGATGTACTCCTGTAGCACAACGGACACCCCGCATCCTGACAGCACACGGCCTGCTTGATTTCATAAACTTTCTAAATAATGAATCACGAATTTTTCCATTTATTTAAATACACCCATATGCATATTTTATGTTGTCTGATTTCCGATTAAACCGAAAGCGCTTCCGAAAGTTTCAATATGCAAAATTGGATAGATCGTGATGTCACATAAAATTATATTCGACAAATTTCTCGTATCTCGCCAAATAAAAGAGATATAAAGATGACCCTATTATCACGTACGCACTGTATACAGGGTGTTCATTTTATTTTGTCAAGGACTATAAGAGGTGCGTTATTAAATTAGCAAACAATTTCTATTTTACAAGCCTGCTTTAACGAGCATGGAAAACAATTTTTTCAATCAGCAGTTCACAAACAGTGAATCCCAATTGTGATTTTAAATGGAACTATATTTTCTTATTCGATAGAGAACTTTATTCTGAATTCAGTGATATAATATTTGTATATTCTTAGATAACAATTTTTATGAGAAAAATGCATGTTTAGATTTATTTCATTATACTTAGTGTGCCATGGACAAAACAAGTTGAATATGGATTCAGATTTTAGAGTGCTGTGACGGAAACAATACCATTAGTTACGTTGTCAGTTGCAATTATTGAATTATTATTGTTGTAAGAATACTGAAAAAGTTCAATTTAATAGAAAAATGAAACACTTTGTTCATTAATGAGAAAGTACGAAAAAATATACCTTTGTCTTGGTTACAATGTATCAGGAGAAGTATCTTGAAAGAGAAGTACCATCACATAGGTATTTTCGAAGATTAGAAGCCAGATTATGCGACTGCATTTATTGAAAAATCGAGAACAACAATAAATAATGCTATTGAAATAAATTGTTTGGGCGTATTTTGAAGCAAATCGAATATGTTATTAAAATGGCTGCTATCAAGTACCAGTGTAGTGTAGGGAGAGTACATAAAATTCATCTCAGAGACCATGACAGACGCCTCTCGAGTTTTGTTATTTGTTGCTAAACGAAGGAAGAGACTTTTTAAAATTTATTAGAATAAAATTTTTCAAATAATTAATAATTTCAAAGAAAATTCTGTGTTTTCCCCCATAACATTGTTTTTTTAGGTACTTTATCGAAAAAGAAAATTTTTGATTGAGTCCTCCAAATGTCATATTTTTTTAAATTGACCATCATTTCAAACAATTATTTAAATTGCAAAATTTGCTTATCCCTTTATGCTATCATTTTCACTTTAGTAGTTTGACTTTTTTAATATTTTTTTTAAATGGCAGACTTGGGTTCGGAAAAGAACGTCTTTCTACAAATTGGCGTTTCGTCTTTTTTTTCTTATGGGATGGTTTTTTGGTATCAGTAGAAATTTTGTAATTTCGGCTATCCAGAGCTATAATTTGTTTTGAGACTCATTTTTTCTATAAAGGACCTAATTTTTGTTTTTGTTGATTTTTGTGCCAAATTTTTTTTTCTTTTCTATTAATTGGTTTTGAATTTGAAATACTCTCCTCACTCAGTCATAGAAAATGAGGGTTGCTATTTAAAAAAATAGTCGATCACGTCATATCCCAAATTTGGATTTAATAATAATAATAATAATAATGCCTTTATTTGGACATTTTACAAATGAACCACGATGGCAAAAAAAATAAGGAAAAAAAGGTGACTATACAAAAAGATTACTTAATAGTCCATACAGAAAAAAAAACTAAATACTATATATAAAAGGGCAAAGTCGAGGGCAAAGTTCATGAAAAGAAAGAAATATTCTTTTCGTGCTCTTCCACTTAACCCAGCTTATTGAATTTATTCAAACTTAGAGACTCACCATGTAAATCGACACCTATTATGAAGGTTGATATATTGGCTAACATTATTACAGTATATATACTATGTGGATGATACGTCCCTATGGCTGGTTTACAGCAAATTCCAAGTGAGGTTGACATTAAAAAAAAAATAGTTTTTCAAAGTGGTGATTGGTTCTGAATAAAATAATGTTGAACTTGAAGAATAAAATGAAGAATCTTATTTTATTGTAATGTGCAAGTTGTAAACCATAAGATTAGTGAAGTGGCACTTATTCCTGACAGGTATCAGAATTATGTTGCTATATGCACCGTAGTACGTCCTGATGGACTAGCCAATACAAAGTAATTAATTTGGGATGACAACACTAAATTTTTATAATTTCATGACTAATCACCTGATTATGCATGTTGTTCAGAATTGATAGCTTCGAACAAACCACTCAGCTTTAAAATATGAATTATAATAAACTAGATAAGTGACTACGCATAAATAATTTTCCTCGTAATTTATGTACATAAATTGAACAAAGAATGTCGCCAAGACAATTAGTATGGAAATATAGCACCCACAATTATTCTCTCTCGGTCACAGATTTTAAGTGGATCATTATTAGGTGTCCACTTATTTGCATACGAAAATGTTTATCTGTGCCACTGACCTCGAAAATGCTCATCAATGTGATAGCTTATCGCATTGTTCCCCGGAAAACAAAATGTTTTATATTACCTTGGCTCGGTGTTGAAGGAACGCCCTCTTTCATTAACGTCCAATTTGAGTCCATCTCTTGCGATGCCTGCAGGAAATAGCGGCCGTCGGTCCACATCAGTGCGTGATCGAGGGTAACGATCGCGGTTCCTGCAGATCCCTCAAATCCGGATATGTACGACCGTCTCTTATCGTTGTCTGCGGGGTACTCGCTGTTGTGCGCGTCCGCCGAAGGGATGATGTAGGCGTTCAGGGGTCTCTTGTAATATTTGCATTCTTTCATTAGGGAGCGCAACTGCGTAAGCAGAGCGCCTGTCGGTTTTACGCTGGGCATTGTTCTAGAAAGCGGATTTGATGACAACAAACAAGAAAGTGGTCACTTACAGTTGCGATTCTCGGCGATTTCTACAATTGAAGAGCTGACCGTTAGCGGAGTTGTGTACGAAGACGACGGGGCAGATTGCAGGTCTTTCTCAAATCAGAATGAGAGCAAAATTCCGGTTCGGTTTATAAATGCACCGTAATTTCAGTCCATCCATTCCCGATCTGAACTTCATACGTCAGAACACGTGTGTGAGATTTAAATGCGCCTGCGCGCGGGAATGACAGTGGTGTAGAGAAGGAATTTCTTTTTGTGGGAAACTACCATAAATACTTCTACTTTCCAGGAGTAGGAACCGGAACCGGTACCGGAATCGATTGCATTCATAAGCCCTGTACTTGGAACCGGAACCATTATTATTACTGCCAAAGAACCGGTATTTTACGACTGACGTGTCTTTATGCTTGTATTGAGTTGAACATATGTTTCGTATAGATCTTAGATCATATGTATGATATGTAACGTATAGATAGCCTGGTACGGCCATGAAGAGGATACTGAGGGGGTATCGTAGATGAATGAAAAGGAATGGCAAGAAATGCTAAAAAGGGGATGTGGAGAAGACGTACAGGGTAATGAAAATGATGCCAAACGTGTAAAAATGGTAAAACAAAAACATGAAGAAGACAAGAGGTACATTGATGTAGAATCAGGTGTTTCATAGAATCTTGAATTAATTGTGAAGACCTAATAAAAAAACGTGATAAATGCGCAAAAAAACGAAGCCTATAAAAGTTAAACTCAAGAACGCAATGGGGTTGAAGGAAACGTGAAAAGGGGCAAAGAAGTTGTGAAAAATTCAACTTCGGTAGATGTGCGCCGCTACTGAGCGGACTGTACAATAGCCACAATATTTGCTGTCACATCATATGTGAGGTTATGTTAACTGGACTGTCTTCGTAAATTGTGTAATTATTATTGACAAATTTTTTATTCTCCGGTTAGTGAAACATTTAATAAATTGGTGTTAATTATTTGTTAAAATAAAGGTCGCAATGATGTCGTGCACGGCAGAATATGTGGTGTGGTGTACAATCGAATATAACTCGATGACTATAATGTGTAAAAACTGTTACTTGATGAATAAAAAGACTAAGATCAATCTGTGACCCACTGCTTAAATTTTTTTCTAGCATTAATCTTACATAATGGCAAACTCCCTTAAGAAAATTCGCTCACGTCGACGTCTCGCAGCCGTCTCATTTTTGTCGAATATCTCTCTCGACGGGAACTATCACGATTCGAAGATGAAAAACGGTGCCGCCGTTAAAAACGAAATATTACTACTGTCGCCGACCGATGAGGTACTCGCCGAAGAGTCCGGACCCGAAGATTGCTTTAGCGATTGCGATTCCGCCTACACGAAGCGAGATTCGAAGAGAAATTATAACGTTGATCGACAGTCGTTAAGCTCGGAGTCTGATAGCATCATAATACCTCTTAAAACGTACCTCGAGGATGCAACGCCGCCGAACGGCAGAGAAAGGTTTTTAGTTTCTCGTAAATTTGCATATATTACCGAGTAATTTTCAGAACAAAATCCGCAAGCGACACGACTCAAGAGCGGAAAGCGCTGCCGAGCTATCGTAAGAGATTAATTCATCAAAGTGACACTGATCGGCAGTACGGAAGCAGTTCTGAAAGCATTGGCCCTGTTACTGGTAAGCGGCACTTCATTTATTTGTTGTTGTTGAATCACTCAAACTCTTCTGTTTTCTGTGCCATTCTGTTTCATGCTGCTCCAAATTTCAGGTCATCAGCATTATCCATTCAAAAGATTGATTTTTTAAATGTTGCTAGAACGTAGCTTCCTTCTCTCTTTCGTACAGTTTCCGCAGGGTTCTCATTCTTCTGCATACGTATACAGTGATATTCATGTAGAAGTAGACATAGGGATTTCCTATGTCTACTTTTACAAGATATAAGGTCTCCTGAAAGACGCCTAATTTTATGCAACCAAAGTAACTACCTACAACAAATGAGGATCTGCCTGTCATATTAATTTATTTGAATAATATCGCTTTGACTTCCCTATTCTAATTTCGGTTCGCGTGTGATGTATTCAACTAAAGAAAAAGTTGATATTTCCAATTGGTATAGTGCCGATAACAGTTAAAGGAGCTTAAGAGATTTATTTTCTGTGAAGCTAAAGCAACAATATTCAAATTAATAATTAATATGACAGCCTGATCTTTATATGTTTCAAGAAGTTATTTTGGTTGCATAAAATTAGGCGCCTTTCAGGATCATTTTTATCATGTAAAAGTAGATATAGGAAATTCATGAATCGTGAATTTAAATTTGCAGATAGGATAATATTTTTCTGAGAGGTGATATTCCAGTGCCACCCCCCCCCCCCCTAACTAGGGTCCCAGGTATTGAGCTATCTATCCAAAAAATCTACATCCAACTCAATCTAATCGAACGGTCACGTGCATTATTCAGATGATAATATTGTGCATATTATGTTGATACAAAATTGATCTCAAATGGCGCCATCTATACAACTGTCATAGGAACTGTCAAAAAATCTAGAAATTACCATTTTTCCCAAAAAAAAGACAATAGGTGGTCTAGACGTGCCACGTGTTGCCACATTTTTCAGTTATACATGAAAACTCATATCATCATCATATCCTGTTTGAAATGAAAAAACGACAGAAGAGAAGTTAATAAGGAACCAAATGGACTAAAATGGTAAAACTTATATTTTTTTAATTTTTCTTGGGGCAATCGATTTCGACTAATAAAGTCATCATCAGGCCCTTGCTGGAATACATTTTAAATGAAATTGAAATGAAATTAAAAAAATATAAGTTTTACTATTTTAGTCCATTTGTTTCCTTCTATATTATAAAGTTATAAAATGGAGCACTACATCAAACATATTAATAAGGAACCTCGTAAGGAACTTTACGACACAAAAGACATCCACTCCGTTTTCTCGCTGATAGAATGTACTTACTTAGGTGATTTAGACTTCTTTTTTTTTTTTTAAGAAATAGAACAAAATTCCTCTTCTTAACAATTGTTCCGTTAGTGTTATGATGTAACATACCTGGCAATTTTTGATTTTTATCATTCCCGCTTTTTTTATACATTTCTTTAAAGGAGAAAAAAAAGTTACTCCACTGGAAAATGTTTTGGCGGGAAGTGCATAATTCAAATTGCACAAGGACAAAGTCTCTCTATTGGTCGCGCGTAAAAGAAATTATGGTTTGACTTTCAGATCATAGGTACATGTATTATTTATTTTTTCCTTTGGAATTACTGTAATTAGCATAAGATGTATGTTTGTCAATTTATTAGGGTGTTTGATTCTATAAATTTGAATTTGCAAGGCTTTACTTACATTGCGCAAGGTTTATAAAACAAGTTAACAGTTGGGGGAAGGGCCGTATTTAGGAGTAGGTAGCTTTGTTTGTTTGTTAGAGATAGCTACAGTACTTGATTAAGCATTTTGGAGCCCACTGACAGTCGAAATCTGTGAACAAAAAGCTGGTTAAGGTGTCAGGTTTATCATTGACATATAGAGATGGACTGCTTGTGCCAATGCTAAGCGGATACAGCAGGTGAGAGAGAAGGGAAAACTAAGAGGCAAGCTCTCTATCGCGTTTCTGTTTGGTAACATTAAATTTACATTGCTGTGGGCTGTGGTAATGCGTGTATATCGCAAGTCGATGGTAGGATGGAGAAAGCTTGCCTCTTCGTTTTTCCATCACTCTCACCTGTAGTATCCGCGCTTAGTATTGGCACGCGCAGTCCATCTCTATATGTGGATGAGTTTTGTATAGCTATAATATCGATGCGGAAGTTCCGCAATTGCGGATGCGAATATCCGCAACATCACTGATATGAACTGTCAAAAAATTTACTATTTTTGTATAAAAGGACCATTTTTAAAGGTGTGCAAAACGTTATTTTACCCATACAAATAACGTAAAATAACGTTTTTTGAGAGATAACCTGCACGTTAAGTTTGACTTTTCTGATACATCACAGGGCTGATTCTCTTGTGATATTCAACTACAACTATAATGAGTAAAAGTAAAAGTACAAAACGTTAATTGCAGCAAGGACCAAAACAAGCCCTGCACCACCGGCTGCGATACTCGAGGTGAACGCCGAAAAGGAAATCAAAATTATCAAATCTGTCCAGAATTATAAATTTAACGGCGAACGAATTGTAATGGTTACGAATAAACACAGCCCGTTTCTGGTATGCTCTTTCATACCGTATTTGAAAAATTATAAAGTTAGGTACGTAGGTATCTCGACTAGATGGTCGCCCATACTTAAACAAAATTCCAGATCTGAATTGAGGCACCGCGAGGGAACGCGCAAACGAAACATTTCCGGCTCGCGTCCCCTATCGTCTATCGGTGATCCGCTCGATCCATTCGAATTGCTTGGAATTGAGAAAGGACTCGAAGGACAGGTCGGTACGCTACGTCAGTCTAACGATTGCAACTTTGTTTTAGGAGGTCTCGTATGGGAAATTATTATTTCCGACCGCCACGGTGAAGGAGTTTTGTGATCGACGTCACAATGGCTGCGAAGAGAGTATCGAATACACGGCACCCACAAGTGAACGACCGAGATATGTGGTCGCGAGGTATACCTGTAGTTCCTTAAGTGTGTTTATTCTACGATCATTGTTGTACTGTACATCTGAAACGTGGTTTATTTGCTTTTTAGGACAAAAGTGTTAACTCAGCAACCCGGATATAAATGGTAAATTGTATTGTTTTATAAATTGAGGGGGTTACAGATTGTTATGGTACCACAGTTTTAGTATATTTCAAGCAGTACGTTTGATGTCAGAGTCTGCTGTTCTGCAGTACTTAGTTAGAATCTTTCTTTCACTTAAATGTAATCAGCTAAAAGACTCCTAAAGACTGAGAATGGAACTACACAAATTTTCCTTAACACCTGAAACAATTCTTGGACGCGACAAGAAAAATCTGACATGAACACTATCCTGGTAGCGCAATGGGTTCGAATAAACATACATTAATTGAGTGAAATTGAGGAGATTTTATTCGGCAACATTAAATAAACATTAAACAAAATTCCTGAAATAAAGAGAAGCTTACATAGCTTGTGTACCCCGTACGCAGACGGTCGATAATTAAAAAAATTTTTTTTAATCTTAAATTGCTTATAGTTTTTTTTATCTTTTTTTAATAATCCTAATCTTGTCGTTCAACAGTTTGCAATAAACAAGGCGCGCTCCACACACAAACGATAACAACTTCTGAACTTAACTTTATTTTAGCACACAACCTTGGTGACAAACAACATTAACTCGTTGAATGAAGTGACAAATTGCAGGTGGATATGCAGACGGTACAAACTTTTAGCTTTGATAATAATAGTGCAGGGGTTAAGAGCCAAAATAGGTTTCAACCTTTCATTTTGTGATAACTTTATGAAACTTTCAGAGGATGTTCTAGACACCCTAAGGTTCAATTTCAGCTATGCCGCCACCCCCGCAACCCCGGACGGCACTTGCTATAGCGGGTTTCTTAAGCGCAAGGTAGCATTTCAATACCCGCCCATAAAATGGGCCAAAAATGTATGTCCAGGGTTTGTTTTGTATTTTCTTACATCTAGGAAGGTTGAAGGGAATTGTCAAATACCCAGGGAGAATTTATTTAGGGTATTTTACGTGGTTTGCCTATTTTTAAGGCGCTTTTAACAGTGTGGATTAGGGAATGCAATCCCGCAGCAAAATCTCAATCCCGGTATTTGCGGGATTGTTAGTTGTTAATCCCGCGGGATCCCGGTATTTGCGGGATCTCGCAAAACTTTAAATAAATTGGCAAATAAGCAATTCTGTGCGGTTAACTTCTGTATTAAAATAAATCGCTAATTATCACAATATTTAACAAAAAAGTACCTTCGGCCTAACTTAGAACTCAAAAAAACCTTACCTGTAAAGCACAAAAAGTCTTCGAAAGTGCCTCAAAAATCATAGTACATTTTTAACGAAAAAAGTTCAACAATTATTTAAAAAATAATTAGCCGTTATCAGTTTCATTAACAAAGTAAACAGAGTCGTCCCCTTGGTCGACAAATTCCTCAGTCCCGCAAATCCCGCGGGGTCCCGCTCCATTTATGTGCGGGATTAATCTCGCAAAAATGCTGGATCCCGGTATGTCGGGATCCCGCAATCCCGGTATTGCATTCCCTAGTTTCTAGTCTATAACTTTTGATTGAGAAGTCTGATCGAAAAAGTACGAATTGTTTTGGATTCTACGCACCAAAATTAATAAGAAAAAGTGTTTTCGCGAGAAATTTTGGTGCAGTCGATTTTTGGTATAAAAAGAAGGTTATACACTGCCTTTTTTTGAGGCCCTCAAAAAAAATTGTCTCAGATCGACCCGGAAAAAAATTTTTCTTACAGAATGTGGCCTGTAGAGTCCATAATTTCAAACAGTTCCAATATTGGGCTACTAGTTCAAAAGTTACAGCCCTTTGAATTTTCTTTCGAAATTGGTTTCTAGTTTATAACTTTTGATTAAGAAGTCTGATCGAAAAAGTACGAATTGTTTTGGATTCTACGCACCACAATTAATAAGAAAAAGTGTTTTCCCGAGAAATTTTGGTGCAGTCGATTTTTGGTAAAAAAGGAAGGTTATACACTGCCTTTTTTTGAGGCCCTCAAGAAAAATTTTCTCAGATCGAACCGGAAAAAATTTTTCTTATAGAATGTGGCCTGTAGAATCCATAATTTCAAACAGTTCCTAGATTGGGCTACTAGTTCAAAAGTTACAGCCCTTTGAATTTTGCGAACCAGCTAACTGCAGTCTCTTGTTTGCAGTATTTAACGAAACACTTCCATAATCAAATAAATCTCCTTCTTTCAGTTTTTTCCAGATAAAGTGCCAATCATAATTAGCCGTGATAACGCCAGCTTAAACAGAACGCGTCCCTTATGCCGAACTACTGCACACATCTGCATAACTCCCCAATAAAAGCACATGTGTTAGTTAATATCTCGTCCTATAACATACTCTCTTATCGCAAACGACCAGATGTGCCTACATTTAAACACGAAATTTTACATTGTACAATTAAATGGGCAGATCTTAATAAAAAAAAATTATGTGTGACTGCACTGATGATTACTAAAGTATGATTATGCTTACAATTAACAGTCTCTAGGAAACAGAAATAGGCGTGTTCATTTATTTTAAATTTAAAACACTGTTGTACTGTTACAATCTGTAAGTCACAAATCTCCCAAAAACAATTCCAATGGTGGCTGTATTAACTTTATGCTTGCACGTAACACACAATTCTAACAATACTTGCACTATGAGAAGCTTTTAGCGAGTGCGACAAACGTTAAAAAACTATGGTACAATAATTTCAGGTGCTTTTCCTACGATCAAGCAACACAACGTGGCACGTCTCACTCGATTACGACCTCGCCACCGAGCGAAGACGCGCCGAGCTCCTTGCCAACGTACTCCCCGAGCTTATTAGACGATCCCGAACTGATCGCGGGCAAACATCGAACTTTACTAACCTTCACCTCGTACGTAACGTCGGTGATCGACTACGTTCGACCGTCCGATCTGAAAAGGGAAATAAACGATAAATTTAAAATTCGTTTTCCCCACATACAGCTAACTTTAAGTAAATTGCGAAGGTACGCCGCCGACGTTTCTCGACGAAACCGCTAACGTTCCAATTTCAGTATCAAGAGAGAGATGAGAAAAATCGCGAAGGCGGAGACCGGAATCGAACTGGTGACCGTCGCCCAAGCGTACGTCTATTTCGAGAAGTTAATACTGCGCGGCCTGATCAACAAGCAGAATCGCAAGCTGTGCGCCGCTGCCAGTCTCTTGCTGTCGGCAAAATTGAACGACATCAAGGGGGACGCGCTTCGGGCGTTAATCGAAAGGACCGAAAGCGTCTTTCGGTTAAACCGTAAGGAGCTGTTCGCCTCCGAGTTTGCCGTGCTAGTGGCGTTGGAGTTTGGACTGCATATTCCTACTTGGGAGGTGTTTCCTCATTATCAAAGATTATTGTACGAATCTTGACCTACGCCTCGTTACTACATCTGATTGATTGTTTAACTGTTTAAATTTTATTTCGTTTGCATTTTTGTTGATTGTTTTGTTAGTGATAGTTGTATATAACACTTTTCATTCTTATTCATGTACGTACCTACCTTTTGTACCTTTGCCTGGGAACTTTTAATAATATTATAGTACAACAAATGTAATAATTTCGTTTATCGACAGACTTTCCTGCTGCTTCTCCAGAAAAATAATATATTTCCCAAATATGGTGGACTGCAGAATGTAAATGAAAACACATTTGTTGATTTTAAGAGGGAAGAAGCGGAAGAGAACTGAAGAATAGTAGGGATGGGAAGTATCAAAAAAAATGTAAAGCATCCAGTAAGTCTTTCTGTTTGACTGCCCCGCCTATTTCTTTCTATTTGTCTTGATTTTCTTCACTTTTTTTTAAAGAAGCATTTCATTTAAAAAGCGTTGATACATCTGAATAATAATAACAATAAATGAATGACTTTAATAGACAATTTCTATACAGAGCCTGTCTAAATGGCGGAGTTCAGACAGGGATATCATCCGTGTCTGCTCTTCCACTTGACCTTTAATTTATTTTATGTTAGTGTATTTAATTAGACAGGCCATGATACGTACAAAAAGTGAAACAAAAAATGTAGTAGTACATTTAAAACTCAAGAAACAAGACATTGACAATTAAGATGTGGTTTACAAAGTAAGCTGTTAATTGTTTTTAACACGGAAATATTTTACATATTTATTATGTTTTTAGGAGGAGTCGACGAACACTAACTTTGAATTTATCTGCTACATCTGCTGTCCAAACAATCAGTGCAGAATGGGACGTTAAGGAAGAAGAAATGAAAGAAGCAGGAAAAATACATAATGCGATAAGAGGTTTTGTTTTCAGACGTGAGTTAATTAACACACGTGTTTTGGTGTTGTTAACAGGTGGTCAACGAAGTGCGCATTATTTTCGGCGAAAGTGGGGACGCGTTTTTTCGCAGCCGGCGTTATCTAGTCTAATTGTAATTGGCGCATTATTTGTAAATACGGGAGGAATGTTGGGAAGTAGGTTTCCCTTAAATAGGTGCGAGAAGGTAAAGGTGGTGCTGCTGTTAGTTTGCAACGGTGAAAAGAGTGTAAGTTTGTGTATGTTAAGTTACGGGCGGTTCGCCTTTTTAATTTTGTTGTAGACGCAGTCAATTTCTCAATAAAGTGTGTACAAGAAGTTGAGCAATAATAAAAGATTTTGTCCGTATTCAAAAAAGTTATTAGAGTAAGTAATTTAAGATCTCTCTTACTATCGACCGTCTGCGTACGGGTACTGTGTAAAAACAAGCTTTGTAAGCTTATTTTTATGTAAGGAATGTTGTTTTAATTTTCATTTAATCTGTTTCGGAATGAATTTTTGTCATTACCAATCAATTAATTGTGTGCTTATTCGAACCCATTGTGCGACCCGGATAGAGTATCCCATGTTAAATAGTTCTGTTGGCCAAAATTTGCTGAGTGAATTCTTTGCAATTTTCGGAAGTTGATCGCGTCTCTTAAAACGTTATTTGAGTCACTATTGGTATTTTTCTTTGTCGTCCATGGCGTCTTAGGTTTTTTTCAAATGTGTATACAGTGATATTTATTTAGAAGTAGACAGGGATTTCCTATGTCTACTACTAAAAAGTCTCCTAAAAGACGCCTAATTTTTGGAACCAAAGTAACTACCTACAACAAATGAGGATCTCCCTGTCATCTTAATTAATTTTACCCAAAATCATCCTGAAACCTTCATTTTCGTGCATACTTTCTGTCCGGAAATTTTAGTTTCCATGACAGCTAGGCAGAGCAGACTACGTTTCCTGCTGCTTGTCACTACTGGTCGCACCTGTCACTTTACCGGCCGCATTTTTGACATTTTCAAATGTCTATGCCTCCTGTCATCACTGACAGATTGACATTAATCAAAAGTTATCTATGAGAATTGAAATTTTGTATTAAAAGACGATTTCGGGTAAAATTTAATACAAAACTCGTCAGTAAAATGCCATTAGGTACCTGACTCCGAAATTAAAGTACTCGGTCCCAAAGGGGCTTCGCACTTCAATATTTCCTCGCCAGTAATGTAACATTTTCCTGACTTTTATGTAAATAACTATGAATAATATCGCTTTGACTTCCCTATTCTAATTTCGGTTCCTGTGCAATGTATTCAACTAAAGAAAAAGTTGATATTTCCAATTGGTATAGTGACGATAACAGTTAAAGAAACTGTGAAGCTAAAGCAACAATATTCTAATTAATATGACAACCAGATCTTTATTTGTTTCAAGAAGTTATTTTGGTTGCATAAAATTAGGCGTCTTTCAGGAGACTTTTTATCATGTAAAAGTAGACATAGGAAATCCCCGTCTACTTCTGCATGAATATCACTGTAGAGTGCGTAGTCACTTCTAGGAATTACTCTCGAAAGAAATTTAGGTTTTAATTTGGGAAAGGGTTTAACGCTTTTAAAGATTTTAAATTTGTGGATTTTTTCCTGGTTAAAGATCAAAACTGCATTATATGATTTAACTCATTTTTATGTACTAATATTTCGGACTAAATTAGTTCTTCATCAGAGTAGATAAACTGTAAGAACAATAACAAATTAACTTCACAAAGATTAATTTACTTACTTGGGTAACTTGAAGACGCAATAAATTCAGTAACTATTAACATTTAAAATTATACAATTATGAAGATTTAGAATTCTTGAATGAGTGCGTATAAAGTTGTGGAAAATGTGTAAAAACTCTTGGAAGGATACGGAAATTTGGAAAAGGCACAATCCTTTCGGCAAAATACTGGAATAATTATCTGGAAAGAGCATTTTAGGGGACTACAGGACTATTCGGCGCGGCAGTTTTCGAATGATCTCCATTCGTTCGGCACAAGATGTAGCGATGATGCCCAAGTACTCTCGGAAGGTTGTGATACTCCGATATCCATCATGGTTTGAAAACTCATTCTGAGCGGCCTCGGGTTTTCCAGTTATCCTAGTCTCCGTTGGTTTGCGGGCTACAGGTAAAGTGAAAAACTCTGTGACTATTATGCCCTAATTTCATAGAAAGTTGCCCAGTTTAAAGTTTCTTAAAAATATAACTCTTTTTTGGGATTACATTGCAGAAATCTTTCTGAAGGGAAGGTGAGTTGGTAAAATAACAGTAGAGGTCAGAAGAAAGCATGGAAGAGAGCAAGAGCGTGAAAGAGAGAACATAGAGGGTGGGGGAGCACAAGAAAAAGTAGGAGGGGACAGTGTAGAGGACATCGAAGACGGGAAACGACCTGAGATGGGATGAGCTGACAGTAAAAGTCGGGAGAGAATACCTAGCAAATGTGAGAACAATCAGTAGTAGAGGGTTGAGGGAAACGACACGAGGTGGCAGAGGAGTGAGGACAACAATGTACAATACGTGCAAGGATAAAGGTGGTAATTTGAAAGCACAAAAAAATTATTTTACGAGCGCTCGTGAATACCACAACTGTGATTACGGAAGTCGTTATGAATGAATGCGCAAGCGCGCTGGTTGTGTCACGTTCAAGGATATCCTCCCGGTATAAATCTGCCGCAAGCGGCAGCGTAGACAGTACAAGTATATCTGGTTACAGGTTAGACCTCTGTAGCAGGTATAGCGTAACCACAACCAATGCCGTCAAATTTAAATTTTAAATGTCAAATCTAATTATTTCTCAGTTCTCACACATTTGATAAATAACTAATTATTGTGCTTATTAATTTGTCTAACATTGCGGTAGAAGATTAGATAAGAAAAACGAACAGTCGTCACATTGTGTAATTCATCGACCGCTGCTTGTCGCACGTGCATTGTAAATTGATAACAAAAAACGCATTCTGTAAGTACAAAAAATCAATTTAAATGGGACTTTTGACTGAAGGCAGCCCGCTCTCGTGGGCCGAGACTAAGAACCAAGCCGAGCATGTCAGACAACACGGAGTCATTCAATTTATTAATTTATACAAACGTCTAAGAGACAGACAGGGTGACATTTTAAAATGGGGCGACGAGGTGGAATACATTATCGTTAAATTTGATCACGAGAAAAAGACGGCCAAATTGAGTTTACGTAGTCACGAAATTCTCGCCATACTCAACGAGAAAGAGTCGGCCGATCCGCAAGGTGTTAAGTCGCTGTGGAGGCCCGAGTATGGCGGTTACATGATCGAGGGGACCCCCGGTAAACCTTACGGAGGTCTGTTGGCCCACTTTAATATCGTCGAAGCCAACATGAGGTATCGAAGGGAGGAGGTAACCCAATTATTAAAGCCCGGCGAGGTGATTTTATCTATGACTAATTTTCCAAGGTGAGTATTATGTAAGACGATTAATTGTGGTGTTATGATGATATTGCAATTTTTTTAAGATTAGGATGCCGGGATTTCACCGATCCAGAGACGACACCTACGCCGAGTGAAGGTGCGACGAGGTCTCTATTTTTTCCCGATGATGCCATTTTTCCGCACCCCCGCTTTAAGAATCTATCACGGAATATAAGGGAGCGTAGAGGTGAAAAAGTATGCGTTAATTTACCGGGTAAGTCTCGGAATTGTTGAATAAGAACCTGAATAGAAAGTCAATGAGAAAGGAGAAATGGTGGCTGGTGTTTTTGTACAAAATGGGTCGGTAGCAAAAGTACTAATTGAAAATTATAGTTTAGTTTGCCTGAAAAAATGGATACAGTGTTTTTAATTTACTATGCTAATGGTACATTTAGAGGTGCGGTACATTGTGAGATAATTTGATCTGTTTTTATTAAGAATAGAAAAGACTAGATCAAGTATGAATAGGAATAGGTTTCTGCATAAATATCGAGACAAACATTTTATATTGGTGTTTTTAATTTAGAAAAATAACTAATTATATTCAATGGTCTAATTTGGGTAGTAATGAGGGAGTATGGCAGAGCACTATTTAAAATCAATTAAAACATCCTTAATTATTTAAAAAAAATAAGCTTGTTTGTAAAGTCACAGCGGTCGCTTACTTGAAAGTCATACCTACTCTTGCTTTTTTTGCCATTTTAACCATTCACTAATTTTCTATATTGGCAACACTGTGTAAGTTATGTTAAAGGTATGTAAAATAGATGTTGCCATTTTTATGTCATCATTGTGGTCCGGGTATTCAGTTATGGATTATTACTTGGAAATAAAGGTGTTTTATTATTTAAAATTACTTACAAATTTCAAGTGATTCCTAAGATCTCCTGCAGTAGATTTAGGGCTCTTTCCTCGGGTCTTTTAAAACCATCCACTAGATAGCGTTTGATTTCGCTTATTACCAAGAATATACTTTTTAAGTTTAATTTTTTATTTTCATTACTTAGACATTTTTGTTACTGCGATTATGGCAAATTTCTCATGAAAAATCAACATAAAAAATAAAATTTTATAACAAAAAAAAACTACAGAGTGTTCATTTTATTTTGTTCATTATTGCTATTTCGAGAACTATAAGAGTTATTTGGTTAGATTAGCAAACAATTTCCATTTTACGGTATTTTTAATCAGCACAAAAAAATTTTTCCAACCAGTGGTTCACAAACTGTGGATACCAATATTGTTATTTTAAATGGAACTATATTTTTTATTTCCTTGTTTGATAGAGAAGAAAAATGCATACCCTTAGATAACAATTTTTACGAGAAAAATCTATTTGGATTTATATCAGTTTTATTAGCTAAAATAAGTGTGCCATGGATGATATAAATGAATGTGAAAAACAATTACTTTGAAACAAAACAGAAAAAATACCTAAATTTACAAATATGTACTGCTCAAATTGTCCTCCATTTTCGTCAATACATAACTGTATTCTTAGGAAAAAATTCCTTTTTACTGATCTTAAAGTCCGGTCATCAATGGTATTTAAAACATTTTATATGCTGTAAATCTAGATATACAATCATGTTAATTGTATTCTTTACATAGCCCCATAATAAAATCTAAACGATTCAAATCCGGCGACCTGGCTGGCCATGAAATAGGGCTGTTAAGTACCAGTTTTGCGCATTGTGGGCAGGTGCACCATCTTGTTGATAATATAAATCTCTTACAACATTTACCGGCACATCATCTATCATATTTGAAAACCCGTCTTTTATAAGTTGTAAATACTGATCAGCTGTGAGAGTATCTTCATACATATGAAAAAATATTTTATCTTTCCAAATAGCACACCAAAAGTTGACACTAAATTTTTCTTTTAAATTCTCCCTCATGTACAATTATATGGTGCTCGGTACTTCAATGATGATGCATTAAACATGCCATTATTTGAAAAATTTGATTCATCTGTCCAGATAGCAAACAAATAGCAAAACTCGAGGCATGTTTCATGGTCTCCAAGATGACAATGTTTGAGTTTAAATGCTCTGTATTTAGTCCTTTTTAAAATTGCATGTACTCCTCCTACACTGCACTGGTACTCGTTAGCAGCCATTCTAATAGATGCCCTTGGATTTGTTTCAAAATATCAATCATTATTTATTGTTGTTCTCGATTTTCTAATAAATGTATTTGTATCTATATCTACTTCTCTTTCAGAATATTTCTCCTGATACATTGTAACCATGGCAAAATTATTCACTCCACTCTTAAAGCTCTCTGTGTTTTTGGAATATACCGATTATTTCACGGTTACAAAGATCAGTTTTTAAATTTCAAAAACTGTTTGATGGTTCACTCACAGAAGTCCAAAAATCACTTCTTTAAGTCGTGCGGCCTGCTGACGTCATAAAAATCTGTAATTGGTCTTAAAATTCAAATGAAATAAGAGCGCTTTTTTTTGAAACCCCTCACGACTTGATCGGATGCTGTTTACTGCCACACATTTATTTAGCTACTGTTAATTGCACTTACTTAATTGGGCGGATTAAAATTTCTAAAATCGGTCCAGTAAGGCTCATTGTTAAGTGGAATATCTCGGGTCGGCTCTCGGATGCAACAAAAATAATTGAAATATCTTGACGGGAACGGTGGCAAACGGCGGATTAATTACACTTAAAACGCTTCTAGATACCGGGTGTTCATCTACAGGGATCTTTAAAACTGCTAACTTCAATCCGGAAATCCAGTGCTTCGTTACATTATTACTATCTTTAAGTGTATTTCGTATATTTTTTGGATTTGGCAGTTATTATAGAGGTTATAAAACACTTAAGGATGTGCTAGAAGGCTCTGGAAAGTCCTAGTAGGCTTTGACAGTCCTTAATTGCTGGTAGAAAGAAGACAAATTATGTTACTTTGATTATATTGAGAGATACAGTGGACAAACTACCAATTTTTTTAAGCACCTACTACAGGCGGGAAATGTATGTAAAATCTCCCTATTATATGGGAACTAAGTTATTTAATCTATCTATTAATCTATTAAATATTACGACAAGTGGAATACAAAAATTTTAAAAACTAGTCAAGTGTTCCTTACAAAAGAGGGCATTTTACAGTATTAAGGAATTTATACAAGAGTCCCATAATTTATTTGATCCTATTTAATCTGTGATATGTATTGTACCTGACGCTTCTATAATTGTAAAACAATTGTTAAAGAAATAGATATTATTATAAAAGCCCAAAAAAATTTTGAAAGGATTTATAAGGTCTAGAAATTTGCCGATTACGTTTTTGTTTTTTTTATGTTAATTGCACAGATACAAAAAAAATAATCGTGTGAGAATACCTATTGAGCAAATTTTCCTTTTTCCAGGCAATTTTTCCGATAGGCATTCTCGCACGATTAGGCCGTTGTGCGCGGGTGCACCGTCCTGTTGAAACTAACAATCATCAATTTTTCCGAGCTCTCAACGTCCTCCAAGAGCCTATAAAAGTCTCTTGCCGTATCTAGGTAGTTGATTGTTATTTATACTCCAATAGTAACTTTCATGCACTGAGAAAAATGTTTATTGTTGGTAAATATATATTCACTGTTTCTTTCTCTAAAAAAACTTATTTAGACTTTTGCTCTAAAATAATTAGGGGAGCTAGTAATTGACTATAAAGAAATTACCATTGAAATCCGTATGCTGCGTCGCTCTAGGCACCACCCGGTATATTCTATATTCAATGGTGTGATTATAGTGTGTCATTGTAGCTGTTTATTAATAGTGAATATTAAGTAATTCGTGGTAAATAGCTACAGTATTAATTGCAGATGGATGCCTCATTTGACATCATTATCCTGCATGTTTGTCTTTATTATTTAAATATTAGCCATACATTTCGCGTATAATTACGCTAAATGTGTCGAGTTAATACGGTTAATATGAAGCTTAGTAACGGTAAAGGATAAGAAATTGACTTCAAAGACCGGACATTTTTTTGTTAGGTTAATATAGCGGAATTCACAGAAACATCACTTGTGTAGATTCCAGATTGCAGTTACGCCCCCTAGCGGCCATTGCAGAAACTTAAAAATATTTTCCAGGTTTTTCTCGTGGCCGTTTTAGTAATAACTATTGTTACCGCAAGCCTCTGCGAAGGACAGGTTCCCAGATACAGTACCTAGCATTCTTATTTGGCTGCCCTGTACATACACAAGTTAAGTTTTACAACACGTACAGATGTGCGAAAATACAATGACTGACTGCGTCTTTCTTGAATTAAAAACGAATCAATTGCGCTAGAATTTTTGTTTGTTTCCCTACAATTAGGGTTGCCATCTCAAAACTCTGCCAACTAGGACAGGAAGCGTGAAAACCCCGGATTTAGGGATTATAAATCCGAACATATCAACTGAATTTTATAAAAAATATTGTCTAAAGAAATAGTCTTTGAAATTCTACTTTATTTTTATCACTGACTAGACTGTTTCAAATAATAGTATAAAGGAACAAGGGATTAAAAAGAGTTTTTGTTCCTGAGAGAATGGTTGAAATTTAATATTTTTTTAAATATTTTTAAGGGAACAAAAACTAGTTTAATCCAGTGTTGATTATACTATTTTTTACAATACCGATCGATTTAAATCCATTTTTCCATGAATTGTTTACAAGAAAACAAAAATGAGGGATTAAAATTTTTTTAATCTCTAGGGATTAAAATTACCTGTTAATGTAAAAAAATTAGGGATTAAATTCAATAAAACAATGTAGGTATTGGAAAAATTCCTTTCTTTGGTCCACTGTTATGCCACTAGTGAAAATATTCTTTCAACGTTGGCATTATGAGCAGGAATGCAAAAAAAAGCACCTACCAGGCAATTTTCAATAACTCCAAGTTTAATGACGATTCGGTGTAACCAAAGCTGATTGGCGCCTTAAAAGTTTATCTTGTTTTGACAGAAACTCATAGATATCTCAGTAGCCTAAAACCCGGACTACCAATGAAACCCCGCCCGGACGCCCCCTAAACTAGGACAAATCCGGGGAAACCCGGACGGATGGCAACCCTACCTACAATTAATCAAGTCATTTGGCTCTAATAAAAAATATACTAATCACAATTAAGATAGTGTTAATTAAACTGTTTATTTGAATCATTTTTTTCAGTGTGGCTTTTGAGTTATTAACTTCTTAAGAGCGTTTAAAAGCTCTTAATAATATTGTTGAAAAAACCTATCCTGAGACTTCAAGAAAATTTATGTACGGTCATTGACAAAAGTAATGATCGCCTAGTAGGTAAACTCTGCAGAACAACCAACATTGATTGAGTATGCTGTAGGATTTACCTATTCAGCGATCATTATTTTTGTCAAAGACTGTACATGTGCATTAGGTATACAGGGTGTTTTTTTGGGAGCTTTAGTTAAAAGTTTCTGGGAAAGTAAAATAGGTAGGATTTTGAAAATTTGTACTTAGGAGTTACTCTGAAGGCCGAATCGATGTAAAATATTTTCAAAATGGCCGCACTTCCGGAAACACCGGAAGTAGATAGTAACTTCGTTATTTTAAATGGCAACCCCTATTTTTTATTGCATTTTTGGATTCTACGTGAAATTTCAGTTCTTTTGATACCCATATGTCATATCTGCCATTTATGGTTTTTAAGTTATTTTGACTTTAAGAAAAAAAATGGCGGATGCAGATGGTACCTTGATAATTGATTACTTGAAAACGGTTATAGTCATGGCAACCCATTTTTATCAGTGCATAGAGAATGAATAGGGCTTTCTTTTACTGTACTTAAAACAAAGTTAAGTTGCGTACAACCGCACCTATGGAGATCCAAATTTAAGAAACTTCAAAGTCTATAAACTCAGTTTTTTTAAATGGAATGACCATGTTCTTAATATTGCATGAGATAGAGAATCGAAATTGGCATATTTTGATATTACATGTTCCTATAGCTATCTTTAACAGTTTCTGATTTATTCGCATTTCATTGAATTGATCTCGGAATTGATGCCATTTTTTTTCGCATTTTCTTTTTAGTAGTTGGCCATGATTTTATAACAATCGAATTTTAAACAAATCAAGGAATGGATTCTTTAATACCACTGATTCTAGTTCTAGTCTAAATAATTCATTAATAAATAACTCATTTAATAAGGATATAGGACAGAAAATTTTTGAAAAATCTAAACAGAGTCGTTCAACTGAATTTCTTAAACAACGTATAAGTCTGGAAATTAAGAGAGGTAATGCGATATCTGTTCTAGCAACAATTCCATACCAAAAATGTTTCAACAAAGTTTTTTATATTTTGCATTGAATTTATTTTGTTAATCTTGCATTTGCAATTCAATTCATTTTCTTAAATATTCTCTTGTAGAGCTTTGTATAACTTGTGCTTCAACGGTTTGTAGTGCATTAGGGGTACAAAATTTCAAAAATTCATACAATTTCGTTCTAGTTTTCGAATGAATGTACGGAAAGCACGCGCCGCGATTCTGCCCATTTCACCATAAATAACAATTAAATTCCAAAATAGGTGAAACCACTGCGAGTCATTTTTCGATTTTTGAAAAACTTATGTTAACCTATAACAGTGGGTGATGGATTAGTGTCACTAGATTTGTTTAAAATTCAATTGTTATAGAATCATGGCCGACTACTAAAAAGAAAATCCGAAAAAAAATAGTGTCAATTCAATAAAATGGGAATAAGTCAGAAACTGTTAAAGATAGCTATAGGAACATGTATTGTCAAAATATGCCCATTTCGATTCTCTATCTCATGGAATAGTAAGAACATGGTCATTCCATTAAAAAAAAACTGAGTTTTTAGTCTTTGAAGTTTCATAAATTTGGATATCCATAGGGGCGGTCGTACGCAACTTAACTTTTTTTTAAGTGCACTAAAAGAAAGCCCTATTCATTCTCTATGCACTGATAAAAATAGGTTGCCATGACTACAACCGTTTGCAAGTAATCAATTATCAAGGTACCATCTGCATCCGCCATTTTTTTTCTTAAAGTCAAAATAACTTAAAAACCATAAATGGTAGATATCGACATATGGGTATCAAAAGAAGTGAAATTTCACGTAGAATCCAAAAATGCAATAAAAAATAGGGGTTAGCCATTTAAAATGACGAAGTTACTATCTACTTCCGGTGTTTCCGGAAGTGCGGCCATTTTGAAAATATTTTACATCGATTCGGCCTTCAGAGTAACTCCTGAGTACAAATTTTCAAAAACCTACCTATTTTACTTTCCCAGAAACTTTTAACTAAAGCTCCCAAAAAAACACCCTGTACAGAACGAAAAATGACGGACGGGCTTTTTGAAAAAAAAAGTTTTGGGGCGCAGCAACGGCGCCGTACCTTTTTTTAGCAATGCAGCACTGGGAATATTCCTAGACCTTTCTAAGGTCAGTGACCTAGTTGGCTAAGCTGTTAAGGTATGGTATTAGAGTTAGGACTCATAATTGGATTGAGTCATTTTTTGCGGAACTGTAACCAGAAAGTTGTAGTATAAGGAGAAGCAGACGTAAGAGAATCAAGCTATACTACCATGGAAATCGCACAAGGAAGTGTAATTGGACCACTACTATTCATTCTTTTGGTAAACCACATTAATTTAGTCTTATACCTCCGGGCGATAATTTTTTAATTAGTAATTACACTGACGACTAACAGCCTGATAGAAGCAGAGCAATTTGACAACCTAAAGTAGTTCAGTCCTCCTCAACGAGAATAAAACACATTGTGTATGTGCTCTTCAAATCTGTGTATTCAAATTGAAGTGTACCTGACGTAATCAATATTTGTGGTGTGGAAGGACGCTTGTGTGAGCCAATTTTACACAAAGATTCTTGATTCTCATTACAGTCTTAATGAGAAAGAAAGGAAGAGAGAGAGAGAGAGAGAGACGCTCATCTCTCTCTCTCTCGCTCTCTCTCTTTCTCTTCCTTTCTTTCTTTCTCTACCTTCTCCTTTGAAAATGTGACAATAACAGAATTTGTGTGGATTCAACTCACTGAGTTAAATTATACTTTGCTACTGCAAACCATGTGACGTGTTTCTATTCAGATTCTTATTCAGTGCTTGACCTGCGGGCCGACGGCTTATAAAATAACTTTGTTGTAGTATATAGAGATGTGAACACAGAAATACCAGTCGACGATTCGCATTTACACAGCAAGGCTGCGAAACCCGACCACGTCTACCTAGACGCGATGGGTTTCGGTATGGGCTGCTGCTGTCTGCAATTAACATTCCAAGCCTGTAACATTAGAGAGGCGCGGACCCTGTACGATCAGCTGACACCGTTATGCCCCATTATGGTAAATCTACAGTATAATGCGAAACTTACGTTGTAATACGAAGAATTCCAGCTGGCCCTCACAGCGGCCGCGCCAATATATCGCGGATTTTTGACGGAAGTCGACTGCCGCTGGAACATCATTTCGGGTTCCGTCGATTGTCGAACCGAAGAAGAGCGAGGATTGAAACCGTTAAAGGAAAATAAGTTTGTGATTAATAAGTCTCGTTACGACTCGATTGACTCGTACTTATCGGAATCTAGTGAAAAATATAATGACGTTCCTCTAGTTTACGATAGAGCTATTTATGATAAATTGAGGGCGAACGACATCGATCATTTGTTGGCCCAACACATCGCTCACTTATTTATACGTGATACGGTCTCGCTCTTCTCGGAGAGGGTGAACCAAGATGATGAGCAGGACACGGATCACTTTGAGGTAAGGTCATGTTATTTATAAGAGACAATGGAATAGTGAGACAAGTGACTGCTGCAAAAATTTCAGCTACAAATGAATCACGAATAGGAAGTATAATTTTTCTTTGATTTATAATTGTATACAACAATTAAGGATACCTTTCTACTGCTTCAGTTGTACAGGGTGGTCCAAATTGGACACTTCCTTATGGAAATACAGCTTATTTTAAGAGATAAAGTGATCTAGGTGTCTGGAGCTCAATTTTAAAGAGAAATTCAATAGCGCAAACAGAATCCATCTCTAATCTAATCACTTTCTTAGTATTTTGGCAAAATCATTTTTAGAGCACTTTTTTATGTAGAGTCCATTGCAATACACAGTATTGATACAGGGTGTTTGGTTTTTTAATATGACTATAAACTACATTTTTTCATACAGACCACCCTATACAAGGTGTAGGTCCAACTCAGAAGCACCTAAGATCCCTTGGATCATAATTCCTGTACCATAAAAGATACCGAAAAAAGTCTTGTAGCAAAATTGTACACAATCACCGTCGCCATATTTCTAAAATATTTTTGATCACCAGGGGCGTGCTGTATTCCAGCGGCGTATCAAACTTGCATTTTTTTAGATGGAACGCCCCATATTTTATTACTGATTTGGAATGTACTTGAAAAATACTTATTTATTTAAATAACATATTATACCCCTAACTTTAACTATTTCGCTGTTATAACCTTTTTTCGTCAAAATTTGACAGTTCTTCGAACTTTTTTTTTACAGAAATTAAATCGCGCAGGCGGCTAATTTTTGAATTGAGGCACCTCTGGGTAGCCATAACTACAAATTGTCTACTGATACAAAGAAAACCACACATTCCATAAGAAAATTTCAGAGAAAAACCAGTCGAAACGCCAATTTGTAAAAAAAAACCTTATTTTCCATGTGTGCCATGATGAAACAAAAGAGGTTCAATTCTCACAATTAACAGTAAAGTGTCGGCAGTGTATGATTGTTTTTAATCAACGTAGCAAAAATGTCTCAAACTCAAGCAGAAAAGGTTGATGTAGTATTTATTTAGTTTCTTCTAAAAAAAATTTCGAAAAACTGTCAAATTTTGACGAAAAAAGGTTATAACTGCGAAATCGTTAAAGTTAGGGATATAATATGTTATATAAAAAAATAAGTATTTTTCAAGTACATTCTAAATCAGTAATAAAAAATGGGGTGTTCCATTTAACTGCCACTGGATTCTGGAATACAGCACGCCCCCCCTGGTGATCAAAAATTGTTTAGAAATATGACTACGGTAATTGTGTTCAATTTTGCTATACCACTTTTTTTGGTATCTTTTATGGTAAAGGAATTATGATCCGGAATTATGATCCGAGGGATCTTAGGTGCTACACCCTGTATATTTTGGGGTTCTTTAAAAGAGCGTAAAATTTTCCAAATTTTGATGAAGAGCAAGTTTCTACCTTTGTCGTGCTCTATTAATACATACCATGAATTTAACTACGCCCGAACGAAATTGCCGAAAAATGACCCAAGACGAGAAAAGTACAAAATTTTGATCCTATTTCACAGCCTAAATGGTGGCACTTGTCAATCAAATACTGTCGCCACCTTTGATTTTTTTATCATTAGATTCTCATCATTTCACCTAATTTTGATCCGAACAAAAAATCTCGCTTGGTTCAAAAGCATGAGAGGAGACTATTTACCCACTGCACTGCAGATAAGGTCGACATAAGACCCACCCCCACCTCATTTTGTAAAACAAATGTACAAAATTTCTTGTCTTGGACATTGAGGTAATATTGGTCGTTTTTTGACAAAATCAATGCATAAATAAAGATTTTGACATTTTTTTTAATGAGCAAAAATATACTGGTCGTCAAGCGGGCCATATCTTTGCTATCAACCAATTGAGTTTGGTATTTTCCCCAATAAAATTGTTCAAAAAATAACTTTATGATTTTAAACAGGTTGAATCTTTATAACAAAATGTTTTTGTAAATTGCCAATATTACGGGTTCTTAATTCGTTTTGTTTCATTTTTGACTCGAAATAGTCCACAAAACCCCACTGAACTGCTGGTGTCAAAATTATGATTTGTTTTTCCTTCTATTATGTTTTATATATATTTTATACACTATCCAATAAAAGACAATTTATTATTATTATAAATAATTTTTAAAAAACGCATTTTGGATTTGTTCTTAAATCAAAATCGTTTTCTTTTAGAAATCCAAGATCAGTTGATTACAAAATGCTCTGTTCATAAGGTTTCAAGCGTTGTTTCCAAACTTGAACTGTCAAAAAAGTCAACTGATTTTTTGTTTCTTGGTTACAAAAGCATTGCTTTACTAATTATTGAAAATTTTGGTTTGGTTCCAAAGACAGAGAAAAATGAAGTTCTGCTAAGCTGTGTAGTCTACAACGTGACTCACCACAGCCCTGTTTGTGGTGATATGTGGAACTAGTGCCCCTTTTTTGAATTGTCCCAGTTTTTTAGCGCATTTTCTAACCCATGTTGGATGGCGCTATTATGACCACTTTCTCCGAGGGCTTAATTACTCTTACAGTTTTCAATATACATATTTAGTTCCTTCCTGCATTCGGTAGCTTATAGCTCTGGCACGCGAATCAAGAAAAATGTTGACGATTGACATGCGCACTGTCAATTTTTTATTTATCGAGATTTTTTCGAAATTTTAACCACAGATGCTTTTAGTAAAGGCAAGCATATCGCATATTGTTAAAATCAGACGTACGCACTGCGCATACACAATTTTCGTATATTTATGTTTCTAGTATAGAAAAAAATACTGATCAATGCATGAAAAATGCGCTAAAGCTACTCGTCTTAGGCGAAAACCTTTTTTTCATTTTTTTTAAATTTTAAGACCACTGTAATCCTTCATAAAATAAATTGCATTTTGCAATGCAAGCAAAACAGGTTTACGAATTTTTTTTAATTTTCGTATACAGGATGTTCCTAAATATCATGAGGTATACAGAAGGGGCTAATTTTTTGGCTTATTTAATAATAATAATATAATAATAATAATAATAGTGTCTTTATTAGATAACGAGTACTTTTTTTTTTTTTTTTTTTGAGTTGATCCATCGTTCCTCGAAATGGGGTTGAAATATATTATGTTATCAAAAATGGGGAAGGTTTAGAGATTTTTGATAACATAATATAACGAGTAACATCAGTTGTTGAAACCTAAAGATGATTTTAAATAAACGGAACACAAATTCTACCCGTTAAACTAATGAGGCGAAGTTCAGATGCTTTGGCACGAAGATGCCGAACATCTGCTCTTCCACTTAACCCCTTTCGATTCGATTACTAAAAGATAACGCTAGCGGAAAATAATCATAAATGGATGGAAAGATAAATGAAAATCGTTTTGCATTATGCTAAATAACCATAAAGTAACAAGTACGCAGAGTATTGAAATTAAATGTAGATGTTGAATGAATATGTGTACAAAGCGAGATCGAAAATGAGATGAGATGACATCGAATTTGTATAAATAGAATGACATTAACATTTAAGAATGATTAAAGACTCATGTTCTGTCTGTCTAATGTGATTTTGAAAATTTTCCTTTTAAATGAACTCATCCCCAGCATTTTAATATTAGTCGGTAGAAGATTATAAATTTTCGCAACATTGTAAGCATATGAACGTTCGAAAAATTTGGTTCGATGGAGAGGTGGAGTAATCAATTTGTAATATCTACTGTTAGAGCTAAATTTGATTTTCTCGTATAGGTACTTAGGCGTGCGGTTGCTAATGACACTATGATATAAAGAGGCAGAGTGAAGGTATCTCCTGTTCGTCATATTCAACCAACTGATCTCTTTTAACTTGTGAGATATGCTTTCATATTTTTTTACCCCAAAAATTAACCGAAGGCAGGAATTTTGCATTTTCTGTATCCTAGCAACATCACCGCTATCAAGACAAGGACCATAAACAGAGTCGCAATAGTTGAAATTTGATAAGACTAGTGACTCGCACAGGAGCACCTTTAGATGAAAACTCAAGGACTGTCGATGGTTAAAAATTAATTTTAAGTTGGAAAACGCCCTACGACTAATGGCGGTTATGTGTTGTTTGAAGCGCAAATCGCAATCCATCCACAGCCCCAAATTTTTTACACACTGTTTAGGTGACAGAACCATGCCGTTTATTTTAATTGCTATATTATGGATATGATCCTCTCTTAACTTACGTGGACCAAAAATTATAAAAGATGATTTTAGAGGGTTTATATTCAGTCCATGTAGCTCAGACGTAGCAACAATGCGTTTAATATCTAAGTTTATATGGTCCATTGCCTTTGCAGTAAGTGATTTAGGGAAACTGAATTGCAATTGAACATCATCTGCATATTGGTGAAATTTTACATGATGGACACTGCGATGAAAATTACTAGTATATATGCAAAACAAGAGCGGTCCCAACACTGAACCCTGAGGTACTCCCGACGTTATTCTAATAGGTGAAGAGATATGTTCATTTAGTACGACTTGTTGCAATCTACCTTCCAGATAATTTTCGATTAATCGAGCAGCATTAGGATTGAAACCAATGTAATTAAGGATACTTATAAGTACTTTGTGGTTAATTGTGTCAAAAGCCTTGGAAAAATCAAGCAGAACTAGAGCTGACAGTTCACCTTGATCGACAGAAGAGATAATGTCATTAGTAACATTTAATAATGCTGTAGTAGTTTCATGACTAAAGTTTCATATAAACGTAGGGTGTTATAATTCACGATTTTTTAAGTTTTTTTTTATATCCTGCAGTTTTTGAGATATTTAGCAGTTACAGAGAAGAGCTTACACCATTCGTCATGTTCTACAGGGTGATGTTTTTTCAGGGGCCATGTTCCTGTTTCTACCCCTGAACAGTTATTTGGTGTGCCACTGGTAAATTATACAATCAATTTTTGAACAATTTCTTATTTTTATGCGTTTTGACAATTCACATTTGAAATTGTATCTTGTGTTTGCATATGTGATAGTACAAGATCCCACATAAGATCAACCTTCACTCCTCTGTTTACCGAGTGAAATACATTTATTCGCAATCTTAATAAGTAAACAAACACATTGCAAATCGGTTGCCCAAAAGAGTCAAGACTACCCTTAATTAAAGTTAATGTAATTTATATTTCTTTCTGCTTCTATCACATGGAAAGAGCGCATGCGAACTTTCTTACATTTGACGCCTGCACTACTAGCAGCTGTTCCGCTGCGTCCTTCTCTTTTTCACGGAACAGTACGGTTGTCGCAATTTTAAGTAGCACGCGCGAGAGAAACGTGTACTGTTTCGTGTGAAAGAGAAGGACGCAGCGTAACAGCTGCTCGTGGTGTATCCATCAGATGTAACGCATGCGCTCTTTCCATGTGATAGCAGCAGGCAGAAATATTAGTGACACTAATTTTAATTGAGGGCAGTCTTGACTCAATTGTTTACATATCAAAATTGTTAAAAAATGTATTTCACTCAGTAAACAGGTGGGCGAAGGTTGACCTTATGTGGGATGTTAGGTTATAATTATACGTAATCGTGAAATTATAACACCCTGTAGATCATTAATGAATCGTTTGCAGGCTTATGTACATATTTAGGAACATCCTGTATAAAACATACCCAATAGGTATATAACTGGTGTTTAATTGGAACCCCCGCTTTTCTCTTCACGGAGAAATTGTGGTCAGGAAAAGTCTTTAATTCCAGTAGGTGCTCGACAGTCCGGCACACTCAGTAGTCCAGCATTTAGCTGACCCATTTTATAATTAGTGCTGGATTGTAGAGCGGTTGAGCTTATTTTACAAAATTTGCTTTCGCGTTCTGCGCTGACCTTGACAGCGAAACCACGCCTCTTTTTGCTTTCGTTTGCGCCTGCGTGCGTAAAGTGCTTAGACAAGATGGCGGACTTTTTGTACCTACTTTAGTACTTTTCTACCGTAGGCCGTAGGAATCTATGATTTATTTCCCAGATAGTACATGTAGGATATAAAAAATGCTAGTATCTAGAAACAAATGCTGTTCTGTCAAAAACAAAACAAATGAATTTGACGTTAAAGACGATCTGGGGATTTTGCTAAATGTTTACTATACTTCTTTTTTTTACCGACTTTTGATGATTCTGTTAAACCAAACCAAATAATGAAAAATGTTAGACTGTAAAATTAAACAATGGAATTAGTGAAATCAAAATTTGGATTTAATTAGCGGAACCAAAAATAAATTGCAAATCATTTGAGTTCATAGCACGCCAGCGGAAATGTAGCGGCATGCGGCGGTCATCGGGATGTGGTGTTCGCGGAACGGACGGGATCGAGCGTCACCAGAAGATTACAGCCTTGCCTAGGGCCAAGGTCGGCGGTTTCGGAACGGTCTCGAAATTTGGGCAAAATCAGTCAGTTGAAGAAACGGCTTGGTCCAGAATTACGGAAGACGTAGCGATTGCCCGTAACGGGAACGCAAGCAGCAAAGCAAAAATTAATTAGCGGTCGCTACGGGAAACCAAATGCAAATTGCCAAAAGATTTTACGTCCCAATGTCTTGCTGTCCAATGATGGCGTCCTCATGTCTTGGACCCATTTTGTCCGTCATAAGATCGTCTCACTATTTCATTATTGAGTAGCGCGAGTATTGCGAGCAGGTCTGAACCTTCAGGTGTTAACTCCCAGAGGCAGGGCAGCCCATAACGCACGCTCGCGCTACTTCCTTATAGCTTTTCGTTGGTCTCTGCTTACACTATGCTTGTAGAATATTCAATCGACAAATTGGCAAACCATGAGATTTAAACCGCCGCCTCCGAACTCCACAATCGGATGGCGAGTCGAGTTCAGACCTTGCGAAGCGCAAATTACCGACTTTGAAAACGCGGCGATCGTCTGCTTCGTCGTTTTACTAACGCGAGTGATCCTCTCGTATCAACTCAACTTCATCATTCCCATCAGTAAGGTAGACGAGAACATGCAAAACGCCCAAAAGCGCGGAGCGTGCTTGAACCAAACGTTTTGGTTCCGTAAAGACATAACCACGCAAGTCAGCCCGCCCGAGGCGAACGAGTGCTGTAAGAAGGGGTACGTGAATTGTTGCGACGCATTCGAGCCGATGACGATTAGTCAAATTATCAACGGAAAAGTGAGTTTCATTCGTTGTTCCACAGCTTTTCATCGTTTATTACAGGCAGGAGAATTTCCCGGACTAATACCTTTAATTAACAATTACTTAAGCGGAATGGACGTAGACACGGATACTCACTGCACAATTCAGCAATATCTCAAATTTATACAACATCGCGCGTCCGGCGAAATACTGACCACCGCGTCTTGGTTACGAAAGTTTGTCACCTCCCACCCCGAGTACAAGTACGTTGTGCCTCGTTCCAAGAAGATCAATTCAATTTTTCTTCCATTACAGGCAAGACTCAAAAGTGACGGAACGCATCAACTACGACCTCTTGACTACAGTGCACGCGATACAAAAAGGCGAAATGTCCTGTCCGGAATTGTTAGGCCATACAACGACCTCGAAAACAAAAGAGAATATACCTAGCGCCCTCTACAAAAATTTATAGTCCGTTCTAAATCAATTGTTGCACCAGTTTTTGTGATAAGTTGTAAGGCCGAAGACACATAGATTTCAAAAGACATGTATTTAGTAACAGTATTTTTGTATGGCTTATTTAAGTAGCTTTTCTTTTTTTTTAAATACACCCATATGATCTGACTAAATTTTTTATTTGCAGGGAAATAGACCCGTGTGCTTGAAACCGATCAAATTTGATAGATGTATTCTTATAATGGGAGGTTGGTACCAGTGCCAGTATATGAATTTTTTAGGAGGTATTCCAGTTCTCCTAATAGAAGAATCTAATCTGACCCTGCTTGGTACATTCAGAAGAAATTGTCTTCTTCCACGAATGAGGGCAATCGATCTTCAGTCTTCAAAAAAGGTCGCCATGGATCCTCTAACAATTTCCGAGTGGTTTGTAGACATTTTTTATTGATCAATTAGAATTTTCGTCAAGTTTCTGGTGGTATTTTAGTAATTCTATTGTTATTCCATGTATACCAATAGTCGGTGACATTTTTAAGGTGTAGATTATAACCTCACTTTTATTGAAAGTGCCCGTGATGTGTTTGTACGTGCAGGTGTAAGTTTGTCTCTTCATTACACACTATAACTTCTTGATGATAACCTATGAGGATTGTTTGTTTTGTTTATGCGTTTGGTAATTTTTCTCTTAACAATCTGCAAGTTGGCAATTCTTACATACACTAGAAAATTCATGCTTTTATTGACCAGTGTAAAAGTGTACTTTTCTGAACAATAAATTCATGAACTCATCCATCAATAAATCCAAGGGTAAATTCACAAATCGGTTGATAGATGTAATGCGGGCTAGAAGATAAAGGGGTTTACAGTGTTGTAGTTCACACCAGTCGCATTTGAAATTCTTATTGGTCTTGTGTCTTGTGTTTTAAAATTGGATTTCTACTTGGTGAAAAAACCACACCGGTCACATTTTAAATCCTTGGCACTAGATGCTAAGATGTGCTTTAAGACTGGATTTCTGTGTTGTGACGAAATTGCACTGGGCACACTTTAAATTGGTGACCTTGTATGTGTGTATGTGTTTTATAATTATTGGTTGCATAATCACACTGGACACATTTCAAACTATTGGCTGTCTCGTGTGTTAAAATGCTATTGCGCAGGCATTGCGAAGGCAGCATTCCATTGTTTTTTTTTCAGAAATCAAATGAATAACGAAAAACAATTGAAAGTTATATCATCGAAAAGAGAAAAAAAATCTCTATCAAATGAGCCTAATTGAAAAGGTGCATTGCCAATTGCCATTTAAAAAAATTCAATTGTTTTTCGTTACTCATTTGTTTTTTGAATTAAAAACAACTGAATGCTGCCTTATTATGAGAAATAAAATGTTAAACAACTTTCATATAGAAGAATTTTATATACATTCAATATATACTATATACCATCCATAATGGGCACCCTGTAGTTGCTCTCTGACTGAAAATTTGTACTAACGGCTGGTTTGTCCATTACCAATGTAAATCTTCTCCCAATAAGTGGCTGACTCTGTGAACAATGGCCAGTGCTTCACAATCGAGCTGTGAATAGTTCTGTTGGACTCTCGTTAATGACCGTGAAGCAAAAGTAATGGGATATTCCTCATCATTTATACAGAGTGCATAATATGTTGCCAATCGTCGGACATCTGCTACATTTCGGGGGTTAGGTAAGTCTGCGATGGCTCTTACCTTGTCAGGTGACTTTGGTATCGTATTTGCTCTTACGAAATATCCCCAGTACACTATTTTGTTTTTGAAAAATCTGCATTTAGATTCAATTCGTTTAGGTGTAGGTTATTCTGCTGCAGTCTTGTCAAGCATTGTACAAGGTTGTCGTGGCATGTACTTTTACGCACTATTATGACATCGTGCGTTTTAGCGCATTTTTGAAAAAAAATACGCTATTATATTTGTTATGGCTGGCTGTCCGGCTGAGATTTCAGCAATTGCAATTTTGGTACGACGCATAATATCTGCCAATCTCTTTCTAGCATCAGCCAAGCGCAATAACGTACGTTGATCGTTAATTTCAAATACAGTTCAAAGACCTCGTGGATCCTTCGCGAAAAAATATATTGCCGTTTTTCTATGGTGCTTTCTTCCTGGGACACAGGGTATATATCAGAAGATAGAAATGAATATGACGCCAACCAAGTTCACCCATTGAACCTAATGTGACCTTCAGTTTCCAAGAGGTCTGTAATGTGAGAGGTCGGCTTCCAGGCTTTTTAATAAGGGTAAGTATTACCGCATTATTATATTTGTTATGTGTTCATTAGTTGCCAATTCATTTTTGATCAAATCGTCATGATTCTGATTCTACAAACATAAGGTGCTCTTCTTTTTCGGTCACTTCAACTTCAACAGCTTTTCCTACATCAACATTGAGTTTTTTTCGTAGCCTAGGTTTAGGCATAACCTCTTCCAAAAATAAGAAATTTGCGCATGCGCAATACGATTTTCTGCGCATGAATTTTGTTGCTCTTATTAGAGGGACCTACCATAAGAATTTGGATTCAGTTGCTCTATACGTATGAAACTTGCGATTTGCACATGCGCAGTAGGTTTTTTTGCGTGGCAAGAGAGAGGAACGAGGTCGGCACATGACGCGCTGAAAACACCTCGGCGTCCCGCGTCCGATTCGCCTACCCAAAGCGCATTTTTTCTTTCTTCGACTCCACCCCGCTAAATATAGGTAATATATTTTTTTTAATTGCAGATGGCGTGTCGGTCAACTTTCTCGAGATGATAAAATTTGAATCAAATTCTATCTATTTTTTCCGGTCGAACACCGATCGGGCACCTCGAAAGCGCCCTCGAACTAATAGGCCATCGCAAAAAACCGCAACTCAATACTCCTCGTTCCCCCACCACGACCTCCCGACTTTTCCTCTATGCCACCGGGGGGGGGGGGGGTAGGTACGTACAGTATGAATCGCGCCCACTTAACTCCCATTGGTTACATTCAAATTTGGAGGTAACATGGCGGAGGCAATAAAAAAACTTGACCACCGTAAGGCCACACTGTTAGTATACAGCCACTGTACTTCGGAGGTAGCCAGAATCGCATAATTTTCAGAGGTTTCGATGGCAAACCTTCGCCCATTGAATTGTACGAGTTTAAGGATCACTGCTATTGAATATGAGCCGGATTAAAAGTCTGGTTTCCGAATACGAGCTGAGTGGCAAAAAATTTCCTTACTGAAAATCGTATGCGATTCTTCGTATTTTGTTACTTTGTTTGCCAAATTATTACTTTAACCAAAATCGCGTTAGAAAAATACATTTCTTTATTCTTTATTGGTTTTAAGAAGTTATTTTGGTTGCATAAAATGAGGCGTCCTTCAGAAGAGATTTTGTCATTGAAAAGTAGACATAGGGAAAAACAATACACATAATTCCCTATGTCTACTTCTTAATAAATAGCACTTATAACAAGTGGGTAGGATATATACAGGGATAGGCGAAATAGTTGCCTATATACAGAGCGTATTAAGCGTAATTTCTTTGAAGACATTTCAAAAGAATAACTAAGGTAAGAATTCTATTTTGGGAACGCTACAGTTGTTTTAGTTTCAAAAAGCTTCAATTTATTTATTGCTATCGTTTTATTGTGAATTAAATAGCATTCTAGTTTCTAGAAAAAACCATAATTTTGGTATTTCAATCTTCCTGTGATATTTCTTTCTTTATCCAATCAATGCACTTCGTAATCCTTGTGAATACATCTGGTCTACCACGAGCACAGGGCCACACCCACGAAGTAATGCCAATTAATTGACCATTACCCAGAAGAGAACCCCCAGAATCGCCCTGACACACCCCGTGACCGACCTTTACCAATGTGCATATGTGTCCATCGTTTATGAAATTATTCCTATACGGTTGCTTCGACTGACACTGCTCCTTAGTCAGGGTTTTCACACGAAGCTCTTTCAAAACTTCGCTAACCGACCCATTGGCCTTCGTGTAGCCCCAACCAGCCGTTATGCACTCGACGCCGCCGCCGACCTCTTCCTCGGATATGGCAATTGCTTGTACCCGTTCATTGAATTCAAGAGGTCGCTGAAGTGTCGCTATCGCAACATCAAAGTGCAGAAACTCTTTGTACTTCGGGTGCCTTCGGACTTTGGCTATACGTATTGCTTGTCCCTTTTCCGTTAAATTCGCGATCCCGGCGACTATGTAAAGACCTGTTGTGTCGTCGCTTCTAGAAAAGTGGAGTATAAATTAACAATTCAGATTGACCTACACAGGCGTAAGTACATGAAGCAATGGGCCGCCGTGAGTACTATCCGTTTGTTAACTATCGAACCGCCACACGTGTGATAACCGTATTTTCTTATCGAAACCAGGTGAGGATGCGAATGTGGAACTGTCGTAACTAAGGATCCACCTACAATGTTCGGACGCAAGTTTCCCGCCAAGCAAGTGCTCGCTGTATGAAGAATCGCTAGTAACCGCAACATTACTTTGCTCATTCGATATGAGGAAGACTGTTTGCGCGTGTTGAACAATGAATTTATATCGGCCTTCCACTGCAGATAAAAATGATCAATTGGGGCAGTAGACCAGAAAATCGACCTTAGCTTATGTATCAGAAAATTCATTTTTTTTAGTTTGTGTATTTCTACATGCAATCAGTATGGAGTATAAGTAGTACTATTCCCCACTTTTTACTTTTATTTAGTGTGCTATTTGCGCAAATAGGTAGTACGTAACCTTATTTTGCCTAACAATAACAATTTTTATTCAATAACGTGGAAAAAATTTCAAATGGATGAGTGGCTAATGCATAAAGTAAAAATTACTCAAATTATTCGCTCTTATTAAATAACTCGATACAGTGCCAAGTCGCCAGCCTGGTAGTAACACCTAGCCCTTAGGTGTTAAATCTCCAACTGTGTTTGCTGGTGTGTGAATGGAGAAGGGAGTTTCTCCTGTCAGTTTGATTCTCAAAATTAGCATATCCCAATCTTAACTTTTCGGTCTTGTTAGTTATTGGTATAGCCATATTAAAAATTTTTACAGATAAACATTTCAAAGCCAGGAAAGAAGGGACAAAAAGAAAAAAAAGGGATCTATTTTTTATTTTATTTTTTATTTTATTTATTTTTTTTTGTCATTTTTTGAGTGGGTGGGGTATCAGCTAAGGCTACTCTACCAACCCAACCCACTATACATTTACAAATATCCATGCCCGAACCCGGATTCGAACCAGAGGGACCCTTAGCACCACAGTTCAGCTTTAACTGAACTGCGCCACACGGACCGGCACCGGACTGGCTCAGAAGGACGTTCAGAATGTGACACTGTAGTAAGTCCTGGGTCAGGTACACAAGCGCCTTTGGTGAGTGGGAGGCTAAAAAATCTTTGGCACGTCCATTTTGTTTACTTTTATCGAAGGAATTTACAAAAAAAATTATGGATGGGGCAAATCGGGCATTTCATTTCTTCCAGTAGGTATTTGTGCGATTAGGCGATTGATAAAAACTGCTATACATTAACCTGGCACTTAATATCTTTTGTTTTCGGATGAGTCAAAATTTAATCATGAGAAACTATAAATTCGTCTTCCACAATGAATTCGTGCCATTCGTACTTTAAACGACAAAGAAATTTTGCGAATTATGGGACCGCGGGCAATAATGAATAGCGTCCCAAATCGAAATCAGTAGTTGCGCGCCTCAACGTGTTACCGTAATAACATTGTTTATTCCTTGGTAGTAGGTAATGGTATAGTGCGAACGATCAACGATGCACCACACCATCACAACTCGCTTATAAATGTATGAGATAGATAAGATAAATACCGGAACTAACCATGGCGTTAGTAACATCAACTTGACTTCTTTTTCGAAAGAACCATCCCTCAAAACACAATTTTCACGTTACATCAAACCATACGTTTACTGCTACTACGCTACTGTGGCGTAGGAGTTGAGAGCGTTTACAAAATCTTTTTGATTACACCAGTTTAAAATCAATCGGACCAAAACTGTAGAAGAAGAGAAAAAAACTGAAAAATCACCACGCTCGGCGATGGCGCCCAGATGTCGTCGACCCCCATCATGGGACATAGCTCGGTTTCGGCGCCTGCTCACCTGGCAACATTAGGTAAGTCATTGTTTTCTTGGATGGGACGTACAGTCGATGTTGGCGGTTGCGCCATCTCACCTCGCTTCACCATAATTTAGCAGACCATCATTGATCATGTATCGCTATCCTCGACGCTCGCCACTTAACCACAGTATAAGAGATAAACTGTGACTTAACGATAAACTGAAACTAAGCATTTTCTAGGGCAATCGAAGGCTTTGCAGAGCTTTTAAAGGTTTTTCTAGAAGTGTTTAGGCCCACTTTCAGGCGTCTTCCAGAGTGCTTTCTGGCCCTCACCTTCGATACTTGCCTTGAGCAGGCTTTCTAGAGCAGTCGATCGTCATCCTTGAATTTCCAAACTTTGCAGAACCGGACCACAACTTTCTACGCACTTTTCGGACTTTTTATGCATTTATAAGATTTTAGACTCGTATGAGCTTCTTCTGGAAATTTTTGTTGGTGTTTCGATGACATGGTCCGGGCCCAACTTGTTATATTTTTGATCATTCTTTTAAACGTGGTGGAAATTATCGAATTGTTTGATAACTGTATGTGTAATGACTTGTTGTTTGTAAACTAACATTTTCGCCGTGAAGAGACGGTCACGGTGGTACTAAAAAAATTGTAACTAAATCAATTACGATACACAATACTGGGGCTGAGCTCCACATTCAACTGTAGGCTCGAAACTCCAAACTAGGGGCGAGTTATCTATCTCGGGGGCGATATTCTGCTAATTAAAACTCTTCTGTTTACAATCTATATGTACCCTTGGTATTTTTCCGTCTTGCTCTTAACAGAAGAATTTTATTGCACCAAAGGTGAGGCACATTTTGTGTATTTCACTCTTTCTCAGAATCTATTCGGTACCTGCTTATCTGGCCCATTATTCCCAAAACTTCTAGAAACCTACATGCTGATTATTTTGGTATTGTTGTAATTTTGTGTTACGCATTTTTACAAACCATTAATTTTGCACTTGCGATTTAATATTAATTTATCGGCTGGTTTTTTTTTATTTGTAAGTTCTTTTTTTCCGAGCGTGTTTTTATTTTTATTCGGTGAACTACCATTTTCAAAAGTATAGTCTTGCAATGTAATTTATTTCGACACTTTCACAATCTTCATGAGCAATAATTACTAATAATCAAACTTTTCGCAATGCCAGTGTTTTATTTTACGTTTCTTATCTACTGTACTTCAAGTCATAGTTAGCGTTGTTTATAACCAATGAATAAAGTCTTTATTCATTGTTTATAACTAACGTGAGGGAGCCCTGCTTTAGATGTTTGATCACGTGCCATTTGCGATTTCAAATTTAAGCGGGATTCTGGTTAGCTTTTGGAGGGAATATCCATTTGGAGCGACCGTCTTTAAACGTTGCCGGGTTGTATTTCCGTGTTCTTGTAGTGTGAAGTTAGCGTAGACCCTGAGGGTTAAATAAGTTAACTACAGGGGGGCGGGGAGGACAGATGGTAGCAAATCGTATGGTAGAAATGAGTGCATATCAGTTATTCTAATAGCGTTTGGCAAAACTCGTACTGCACGAGAAACTGAAGAAATCCATGTGAAAATTGCTCCCAATGGAACATAAATATTCGTAAATATTTGTTGTCATTTGTCCATAACCTCATTTTAGATTTAGATAATCGACAAATCTCTATTCTAAAAAATGACAAACGATTTCAGTATTATTTATGATAAACGATGAGGAATATAAATTTGAAATTCCTGTAAAGGACCAATTTTTGGCGTTGAGTTTAATGACTAAGTGCAACTTAAAAAACTCAAAAAACTCTCCAACGCCAGAAACAAATTCAAATTGCCGCACATGTTTGAAAATTTGTTAACTAGCAGCTCCACGAGCTCTCGGACCTCGTGCGTCGAAATTTGCACTGAGTGCGTAATTGTTGCATCACATTTGCCAATGGAACACAGAAAATTGCCCTAAAATTACCAATAGAACGTAAAAATTGCACTCGTGCAGCACGAGTTTTGCCAATCGAAAACGCTATAAGACTAAGAGAGAGTTTCTTTAAGTGCATTGCCCTGAACATGAATTTTCTTCTGACGAATGACTTTTGGAATTAGGTATTATTGAATTTTCCAATAGATTTGTCCTATTTTTTTGTTTTTAGGAAGATAAATAGTAGAAACGGCACCACTGTAGACCGTGGCTCATAACAACCGCGATGGCCGTCGTGAAGTGAGTGGTATGGTAACTACATCCAAACATTTTTTGATTTGAAAAAGGTAAATTTCCTTTTAATTTTACTATATTTTCCATCTTTTTGTGTGAAACCTGGTCCATTAATGTCCACAGATTACCCGGCTTATGTACAATCACCATGTTTTTATTCGAGTCTAATTTTAAGGTTATCCAATGGCCACAATAAAGTCGCTAGTAGTACCCCCATTGTACTCGAAAATTCTTTCAAATTTCCCTTCAAACTTCTCTTTTTGTTTTGCTTATGGTTCCGGTGTTAAGAAGCAAACCGATAATGTGGGCCCCACGCCAAATTCGAACGTAATCGACTTGGTGTTCTGTGTGGATAACGCGTACGAATGGCACGAGAGAAATTTACAGCTTAACAAATGGCATTACAGTGGTTTGAAGTATCTCGGACACCACAACATCACGAAATTTCAGCGAGGCTATGGCGCCAAAGTTTATTTCAACACGCTAATCCCATTGGAAGAGGTTACAATTAAGTACGGAGTTGTCTCGAGGCAGGACTTAATCACCGATCTACTGGAGTGGTCCGATTTGTATTTAGCCGGTCGCTTGCATAAACCTGTCGAAATTGTAATTCATCCCACCTCATCCGAGCTGCAGACGGCGATTCAATTGAATTTGCAGTCGGCGGTGCATGCCTCGCTACTGATCTTGCCCGAAACCTTTACGGAGTATCAATTCTATCATACTGTCGCGAATTTAAGTTACGCCGGCGATTTTCGAATGATATTCGGAGAAAATAAGCAGAAGGTCGACAACATCGTTCGACCACAACTGCTCAAATTTAGAGATCTCTACAAACCGTTTCTGAAGAACTTGCACGATTACGTAGATTTTCCCGTGGATACTGTGAGCGAAACGGAGACCGTCAAGTGTCTCCAGGATGTTGGTCCCTTAAGTCGACTTCACCACTTAAACCAGTTACCGAGGTGGCCGCAGAAGGCGCTGACTAAATTTTGGAATCGAGGCACCGTGAGGCAGGATACAGAAGATGTTCTACGTGCGATCGCTTACGATCCCGACTGTAATCTAATCGTAAATAAGTGCGTTAACGGAATCGTTTGGCAGTCTTCTATCAGTCAAAGTTTGAAGAGTGCTCTAACTGCGGGTGTTGTTAAAAGTTTGCGATATAGCGCTAAGAAAATTACAAAAATGTTAAGATAATTTGTAAATTTCATTGCTAGTGTAATAATAAATCTATTTCCATGTTATTAACGCAAATTGAAACAAAAATACCACAATAAAATGTACAAATTTTGTCATCATTACTTAGTTAAAAACAAAAGAGAAATGACGAATTTTGTGGTACTTGTACTAATTGCCAAAGCAGCTGAAGGTTTACAAGTTATGATTGGCCTAATGGGCCTCTGTCTTAATATTTTTAATAGGACATCTTTATTTGCGACCAGTTCCAGCTCATATTTTTTTTCCCACAGGCGCGAGATGTCGGATTACATCGGACCAGTCTTACCTCCCCATTTGTTGAACAAGGAATCGGACACTTCTGATTCGACTGCCGAACCTAAACCAGCAGATGACGTCTACGGTCCGTCACTACCACCTCACTTACAAAAGGCCGCCGTCGATAATTCAGATGAGGACGAAGACACCTACGGTCCTTTACCCGAAGGCACTGCCGGAACACACGCGCACCAGGCGTTAGAGGAACGGGCGTACGAGCTAAAATTGGGCTACCTCGACCCGAAAGAGGAAACCAAAGTTAGAGAGGAATGGATGCTGGAATTACCCGTGGCGGGCGCGTCGAAATTGGGACTGGGGCCGCGACAGTTCAGGAAAAATGCCGGACCTGACTTGTCCGATAGGTATGTCGCCTGTTTGAGATGACTTTAATTTGCGTGCGTATTGCAGGTCTTCGTGGACGGATACACCTCGGAGCAAGAAATTGAAGAAAGGGGAGGAGGTCGTCGATTTGAAGAAGGAGGCGATGCTGAAGGATAGCCAAGAATATGATGCGAAGCAGGCCAGTATGGTTAAGAAGCATCGTAGTAAAAATAAAAGGGATAAAAGCTTGTTGCAAATACATCAGGATAACTTGAAGGAAAAGAAAAAGGTAGGTATATGGTGTCCTTCTACACAGTCGATTTTTGGTAAAAAAGGAAGGTTGTGCACTGCTTTTTTTTGGCGCAAAAAAAAATTGTCTCAGAACGACCCGAAAAAAATTTTTCTTATAGACTATGGCCTGTAGAATCCATAATTTCAAACAGTTCCAAGATTGGGCTACTAGTTCAAAAGTTACGGTCCTTTGAATTTTATTTCGAAATTGGTTTCTACACCTTTTTCAAGTGAATTTAGAAACCATCACATGTAATTCAGATTAGTCAAGTTAATTTCAGAAAACGTAAATTGTAATTCAGATTTCAGAAAGTGTTAAATGTGATTCAGATTAGTAAACTAAATTTCAGAAACCATCAAATGTAATTTAGATTAGTTAATTTAATTTCAGAAAGCGTAAATTGTAATTTAGATTGGTCAATTGGATTTCAGAAAATGTTAATTGTAATTCAGAAACCATCACATGTAATTCAGAACAGTAATTTCAATTTCGGAGAGTGTATAAAATGTAATTCAGAAACTAAAGAGTGTAATTCAGATCAGTAACTTAAGGTAGTGTCACAATTGTACACTATTGTGGCGCAACTTTTCAATATTGGACAAAAAATGGCTTGAAAATTCTGCAAGGGTTCAGCACATTTTGCATGTAACGGGTGCCTGCATGGTTGCAATCGAATTACTGCATTTCTTGTCATAGCAGTTTGACAAATAATTCATAATATTGTTGAATATTTACACTAACTCACACTTTTTTTATTTAATAATTAACGCTTGGAAACATACCTTGACGACAATAACAAAATCGCATCCAGAGGTATTTTGATAATTTAATTTTTAAAGAAAAATAACGAATTCTGAATTACAATAAATTGATAAATTCTCAATTACAAATGACGGACTCTAAAAAAACAATTTACACTATCTGAAATACAAGTTCCTAATCTGAATTACAATTTACGCTTTCTGAAATTAAAATGACTAACCTGAATTACATGTGATGATTTCTCAAATTCAATTTACTATTCTGAATTACACTTAACACTTTCTGAAATTCAATTGATTAATCTGAATTACAATTAATGTCTTCTGAAACGGTTTCTGAATTACACTTGAAAAAGGTGTAGTAGCGACACTGCCGTAGGGTCGGAGAGACTCTTCAAGTACTTTCCAATTTTTAAATAAAAAATGGGATTGTTCCATGTAAAAAGTCGAAAGGGTGATACGGCACGCCACTGGTAACCAGAAATATTTAAAAACACGACAACGGCAATGGTGTACAATTTTGCTCCTACATTTTTTTTATATCGTCTTAGATTCTACACCCTGTATACTTGCTCGCGCATTCCTTTCGCAAGTTTCTATTTACTGGAGAGGCTATTGCTTTTAAATGTTGATCAAACATGCATTCTACAGGGTGTTTTTTTGGGAGCTTTAGTTAAACGTTTCTGGGAAAGTAAAATAGGTAGGTTTTTGAAAATTGGTACTTAGGAGTTACTCTGCCGATGTAAAATATTTTCAAAATGGCCGCACTGCCGGAAACACCGAAAGTAGTTAGTAACTTCGTTATTTTAAATGGCAACCCCTATTTTTTATTGCATTTTTCCACGCGAAATTTCTATACACTTTAATATTTTGTGCGTATTGTCCTGTAATTGGATGTTATATTTGTTGGGCAATTAAATGTTATTATTATTATTTGCGGAAGTGGCGCCATCTTGAAAATATTTTAGTTCAATTCATCAAGTGCCAAAACCCTTCAGAGACTTATCATTTTAGTTTCATTTTCAAAGGTTCTCCATATCTTTCTAACTGACACTCGTCAAGAATGACCCTGTATACAGGGTGATTTTTTGGGAGTTTTATTTAAAACATTTCTAAGAAAGTAAAATAGGTAGCTTTCTAAACATTTGTACTTAGGAGTTACTCTGAAGGCCGAATCGATGTAAAATATTTTCAAAATGGCCGCACTTCCGGAAATACCGGAAGTAGCTAGTAACTTCGTTATTTTAAATGGCAACCTCTATTTTTTATTGCATTTTTGGATTCTACGTCCAATTTCAGTTCTTTTGATACCTACATGTCGATATCTACCATTTATGGTTTTTAAGTTATTTTGACTTTAAGAAAAAAAATGGCGGATTCAGATGGTACTTTGATAATTGTTTACTTGAAAACAGTTGTAGTCATAGCAACCTATTTTTATCAGTTTATAGAGAATGAATAGGACCTTCTTTTAGTGTACTTAAAAAAATCGCACCTATGGAGATAGAAATTTAATAAACTGCAAAGACTGAAAACTCTGATTTATTCCCATTTCATTGAATTGATACCATTTTATTTCGCATTTTCTTTTTAGTAGTTGGCCATGAATTTATAACAATCGAATTTTAAACAAATCAAGGAAAGGATTATTTAATATCATTGATTCTAGTCAAAAGAATTCATGAATCAAAAAGACAACAATGTGATCAGCTATAATTGGAAAACACAAACTTATATGAAAATAGGATCAAATTATTTTAAAACCCTTTCTTCTTCGACACATTCTCAAAATGAGAGCCTTCGTGTTGCACAGAACTCAATTCATTTTCTTAAATATTCTCTTGTAGAGCTTTGTATCACTTGTGATTCAACGGTTTGGGGGTACAAAATTTCCAAAATTCATACAATTTCGTTCCGGTGTTCGAATAAATGTACGGCAAGCACATGCCGCGATTCTGTCCATTTCACCATAAATAACAATTAAATTCCAAAATAGGTGAAACCACTGCTAGTCATTTTTCGATTTTTGAAAAACTTATGTTACCTATAACAAGTGACGGATTAGTGTCACTAGACTTGTTTAAAATTCGATTGTTATAAAATCATGGCCGACTTTTAAAAATAAAATCCGAAAACAATAGTGTCAATTCAATAAAATGGGAATAAGTCAGAAACTGTTAAAGATAGCTATAGAAACATTCAAAATATGCCCATTTCGATACTTTATCTCATGCAATAGTAAGCAAATGGTCATTCCATTAAAAAAAACTGAGTTTTTAGTTTTTGAAGTTTCATAAATTTGGATCTCCATAGGGGCGGTGGTACGCAACTTAACTTTTTTTAAAGTACACTAAAAGAAAGCCATATTCATTCTCTATGCACTGATAAAAATGGGTTGCCATGACTACAACCGTTTTCAAGTAACCAATTATCAAAGTACCATCTGCATCCGCTTTTTTTTTCTTAAAGTCAAAATAACTTAAAAACCATAAATGGTAGATATCAACATGTGGGTATCAAAAGAACTGAAATTTCACGTAGAAAAATGCAATAGAAAATAGGGGTTGCCATTTAAAATAACGAAGTTACTAGCTACTTCCGGATGTGCGGCCATTTAGAAAATATTTTACATCGATTCGGCCTTCAGAGTAACTCCTAAATACAAATTTTTAAAAACCTACCTATTTTACTTTCCCAGAAACGTTTAACTAAAGCTCCCAAAAAATCACCCTGTATACAGGGTCATTCTTGACGAGCGTCAGACAAATATGGAGAACCTTTGAAAATGAAACTAAAATGGTAAGTCCGTGAAGGGTTTTGGCACGTGATGAATTGAACTAAAATATTTTCAAGATGGCGCCACTTCCGCAAATACCGGAAGTAGCCATCAACTTTGTTATTTTAAATAGGGACGCCTTATTTTTTCTATATTTACGGATTCTACGTCGAATTTGGAGTACAACGATACCCTCAGTTGACCCTTTGCTCCAAGGACTTCGTCGATATTCACGTTTTTGTCAAAAATTGAATTTGCAGGGGTAATTTTAAAAATTTATATATTATATATTTAACAGTAGGAGATATTGCAAAACAGTTTTCACTGCTTTATTAAGGAAAGATCGAATTTTCTTATGGTATGCGTAACCGTCGAAAAAAGTGAGTCACTTTTTGAAAGCTCTAAACTTTTAAATTTCCGTAACTCCATTTTTTGAAATGGCACCCTCCATTTTTTCTTCACTTTTTCGGAGACCTTTAATTTGATACAAAATGTCAAAGGCTGCTTCAAACGGTTTCCGAGATATTCCGTGTTTTAGTTACTTATTGTAGCAAATTGATAAAAAAATTAAGTCGCTTCATGTTATTCTTTTGTTTTTATTATGATAACATGACATGCAAGCACTGTCACAGCGATGTCGATTGAAAGTCATATGTGACAAACAGAAAAGCGTTAGAGCTCTCCTCATAGATTTCCCTTCTCCCTCACCTACAGTATCCGCTATTAGCATTCGCACGCGCAGTCCATTTATACAGGGTGTTTATTAAACATGCGGCAAAAATGTAAAGGGCCATGCCTTGGACTATTCTAAGGATATTTTGTCCTTCGATGATTTTTGATAGGGCGCTTTGTTTCGAATGTACGGGGCGAAAAAGAATTTGGACCATCCAATTTAGGTAACTTTAACCGTTGAAATTGATTCATTTGTCTATTTGACTTAATTAATAATTTGACTTAAACCCCCTGGATTATTTCCTATGGGGCCACCTACAGTCATTAGTTTATACTACTCCAGTGGAACATGTGGAAGATTTGAGAAAAAAAAAGCGCCCTATCAAAAATATCCTTAGAATAGTCCAAGGAATAGCCCCTTAAATTTTTTCCGCATGTTTAATAAACGCCCTGTATATATGTCGATGGTTCTACGGGATGCTGTCCAGTACTATTTGAGTTGCGCATGCTATATTTTTACTAAAATTCGAGTTACTCTCTCACCTGATACCAAATTTCCAAGGTAGGTAGGTACTGGATGTTGCAGATTTTTGTTTTGAACCCTGGACTGAGAATTTTGAGGGCATAAGATCACCAGAATGGCCCTGAGGTCTAAATATTATTTACTTTCTGATTGTCAAAATTTTGTTATTTACTATTTCTATTCAAAATCTCCTGAATTTAATTGCACATAGTTTTCACCCCACTTCTCTGTTTTCACTGGATCCTTACTGCCTATAAGCGAAATCAAGCGTTATAACAAAATGATACATCATAGACTAGCTGCATCGAATTGTGGCCACTCTCTCTACCCTTGGAAAAATAGGGTGCTGTCATTTGTTTTTTGGATGTTTAATGAAAATAGTCCCAGATACCGCTTTCTGTTTTTCAACTGTTTTATTATTCTTGCATATAAACAAAACACTATCTTATTTAAATACATTCCTATACATTAATACTGTTTTATTAAATGAGAAATTCGATCAATGTTCCTACAATTACATTAACTTGTTTTTAGAAAGACACCGAGGATGGACCAACCCGTAGGCCGTTTAACAGGGACATCGATTTGAAAGTGAACCAATTCGACGACGCCCAAAAGAAGTCCATCATCAAAAAAGCGATGCATCTAGACGACAGGTTTTCTAGCGGACAATCAAAATTTTTATAATGTCAACCGTGTGCGTATCCTACACTGTTATCATTCGACATTCGGCCACGATGACGGTCGAGATTGAAACAAACTTAATTTTAAACTTAAGGGGTGAGTAGTACAAGTTTGTGTCGCCCGAAATAAAATTATGAACAAAGCGAGTAATCGTTTAAATGCTAACAACCGATTGGTCGATACCCGTAGCAGCAGAAACGAACCGTCATTAAGCCGGTAAAGGTCCACGGTTCAAATTGGTAGGAACGGGCGTGTAGAAAGACCTAAATGTTTGCGTTAAAATTAAGAATGGTTTTGGTTTCTTACCCTCCGATTGTCGTACTCCCCTAAAATTGCGCAAAGAACATTAGGAACTGTGTTTTCTGATTCGCGGAGTAATTTGTTACATATTTTCGCACAGTTTGGTAGACTATCCTCGTTATGTCTGTTCTCTATTATTTTCATCAGAATTGGGATATCGTAAGGCTTCGGTGTTTTGGTACTAAAAATGCCACATTCGCACTCGTCGGTAACTTCCATTTCTTCTTGCCGTAACGGTTGATTCGGGTGTAATACGCTGTGTAAAAAAGGTCAAATCAGTAGGGTTGCTCCCCAATATTTGATTACTCACTAAACTGTGTATGCCACAATTAAAATTACTACAATTTTATGCATTATAAATTACAGTTTATTAAACTAACACTCGGGTAAACGGAAGAAGAGTGCCCGTGTGCAAATTGTATTTTGTACTACAGCCTACCAAGAGAGTTTTGTGTAATTCTGTTACATTATCTGCGAAAAATGAATTATATCACCTTAATTATCAACACCTATCGCATGAAGAATGTTTATAATAACTGCAGTGATCGGTGATTCATTCGTATATTTTTTAATCATTAACATTAAATCGAATATGCAACTTATGTAAACATGATAAGTACTAAATTTTGGCATGAAAGAAATATGTGTTAAAATTACATTCTGCCCACAAAAGAACGACATAGACATAAAATATACCGGGGTAGGTTTTTTGTTTGTAATCATTGGCGAAATTATAAAAACAGTTGCTCATCGGGCTATTTTTCTTTAATGTATATGTATACTCATTTCATTTTAAGAAGGTAGCGGTAGAAAGCATAGGGACAGTTTGACCTTCACTGTGATTGGTTAAAACACGAGTCGGTATTACCCTGAAAACTAAAACGAGTGACGAATTCTGTCTGTTAGAAGTTTCAATTACGAACTAAACTGTCGAATTGTCATTAGCTGTCAATTTCAAAGATCCAAGCGTGATATCGTTTGATTTATATTTATATTTTTCAAATTTTGTGCCGTTTTTTTATTTTTCCTGTGTGTGTCTATCTTCAAACACAGCGCCATCTACTACCTTCTTATAATGAATGCAGTTTAATACTGTTCCTTACTATGTTTAAAGAATAAGATTTTAATACTGGCGTCTATTTTATTCGTCGGGAAACAACTTAGAATTTTTGGTGTACGCCCCTCTGAATTAATTTGAATTAACGTGAATTAATATGAATTAGCCTGAATAAATTTGAATTAACGTGGATTAATTACAATTAATTTGAATTAACGTGAATTAATTTGAATGTTTGGTGTTAACACCAAAAATGGTACTTGTTCCCCTTAAGAAAAGTTTCATCAATTCATCAATTCCTGACAAAATTGCCCTTGTAAATCCCCAGAAAATTCGCTTCAGAAAATTTGGTTCCGCTTAAAAATTCACCCTTGGAATATTTCATCCCTAAAGGCTTGTTCCCAGAAAAGTTTCTCACTGGAGATATTCCCTATAAAAAAATCCACATCCTGAAAAATCACTACTGTGTTTGATCTTCAATGACTTGTTCCCGGAAAATTTCTTCTGGGAAAATTCCCCATGGAAAAATTCGCTTCCGGAAAATGTAAGCTTGAAAAAGTCGCCCTGGGGATATGCGCATCAGAAAATTTTTTCCTGGAATAATTGTATAACAAACTTTTGTCCTGGAAATTTGGCCTCGAAAAAATCGCCTTTGGAATATTTGACATATGTCTCGCCCTGGGAAAATTCCCTATGGAAAAATTCTTGTCCTAAACACGAAAAAATCGTTCTTGGAAAACTTTTCCCTGGAATGCTTGCGTGAAAAATTTGTCACCAGAAAATTTAGTCTCGAAAAAATCTCCGTTGGAATATTTGACCCACAAACACGTTCGTCCTGATAAAATTTGCCCTGGAAAATTCGTTTCTCGAAAATACGCCGATTCCTGTAAAAAAATCGCCCTTAGAAATCTCCTGAAAATTCGCTAGGAAAAATCGCTCTCATAAAAAAAGGCTGGTAAAAATCTACCTTCGCTAGAATACTTTGGTGAATAATTCGTTTCCAAAAAATTTGATGCGCTCTAAAAATCGCCCCTGGAATCTTTGACGCCTAAAGACTTGTCCTCCGAAAAAACTATGAAGCTATGAAAAAATTGCCTTTTTAAAATGCTTCCCTGTAAGATTCAACCCGTAAATTCATACAGGGAATATTCGCCTCTACGAATTTTCCTCCCGTAATATTTGCGTGAAAATTTAACCCCCGACAATTTTCGGGAGGGTTCTTCCGGGAAAACTTCTTTCCTAAAAAATTCGCCTATCGAATAAAGTCTCCCAAAAACTCCAAGGAAACTTGTTCTGGGAAAATTCGTTACGGAAAAATTCGCTTCCGAAAACTCCCTATGGAAACTGTAAGCCAAAAAAAAATTGCCCTTGAAGCATTCGTCCAGAAAAGCATCTACAGAAAATGTTGAAAAAATTATCTTTCGAATATTTGGTCCCAAAAAAATCGTCCAGGGAAATCTGTCTTGAAAAATTTGCGTTGGAAGTTTATGTCCTGAAATACTCGCGTAAAAAACTCGCCCCGGAAACTTGCGTGGAAAACTTCCGCTCCAGAAACGTAAAAAAATCGCCCTTGAAATGGAAAAATTTTCGGCCCCAGAAAAAATCCGCCGTTGGAATATTTTACTCGCAAACTCTAGTCCTGGTAAAAATTTGCCTTGGAAAAATTCAAGGTGGAAACAACTTTGAATGTTTGGTGTACACCCCTATGAATTAATTTGAATTAACGTAAATTAATTTGAATTAACGTGAATTAAATTGAAATAACGTGAATAAATTTGAATTAACGTAAATAAGGTTGAATTATCGTGAATTAATTTGAATTTACGTGAATTATTTTGAATTAACGATTTGAATTTGAATTTTTGGTGTACACCAAAAATGGTACTTCTTTCCCCCTAGGATGTAATGGAGTGGAGTGACATTTCATATAATTATGATCGAACTTCACTTAAGGTAAGTTCGCTTTATCACTAACTATACAGGGAATTTTTCTTAAACGCATACAGATGGACTGTGACTTAAAAAAACGGATCAAATGCATGGAATAGATGGCTATGATAGGCAACCAACCTTACACGAATTTGTTTTTAATAATAATCGGCGTGTGCTATGGAAACAGTAACTTGATTATTTAGTGCCAAATTAGGGTTAGCTATTAGTCTCTTTATTTTTATTATTAGCAGCAACTTGTAATTTTTTTACACGAAGATGTATAACAAAGACGATATGGTTGAAATATTAACATAGTAGGAGTATGGTAACAGTGTAAGAACTGTAAAAATGGGTACAGTTTGTCGCGTGTAATGTTGTTTGCCTACAGTCATTTGTTCTATGCCGTAATACTAGTTCCATGCGTTTGATCCATTTTTTTCAAGTATACATAGCCGATATATATACATTTAAGAAAAATTCCCTGTATATCAGTGCCCAATCACTTAGATTATACACTCTGTAGTTGTTTAAAGATACGGTACAGTTCAACTCAAGTAAACTGGCTTGTCTTGGTCTTGATAGGGTATGCTTGTTAATCCTCAACATGGCGCTAGTTGCACTCTTCCTGTTGACTTCATTGGAGTACAACCTTAGCAATGTTTAACTGACTGACCTGTTTCTGGTAAACAGAACTGAATCGAATGACCTTGAAACTTGGCGCATGCGCGGTACTCAAGGTCAAAGTGAGTTCATATCGGCGTTACTTACCTACTTAGTGGTCCAAGTCCATCCCACGGTTTTGAGAATGTTTGTGGGTGAAACCCCGTGCCTATAGGCTGCAGAATTGGATGCATAACGGAACAAATGGCACAGTCCGGGGCTTGTTTCTTGCGAAAACCTCAAATATAAATGTGCGGCCATCAGAGTAAGTGTGCTTGACAGCGCAGGTTGGTGATCAAAAATAGAAGGCACTTTGTTGGAGGAAAAACCCGTGCCGTTATGGTTAACTCTTGGAACAATGGATACCTAGGTTCCTGGCCGAAAAGGTACGACTAAAATATCCTCTGCCCAATCTTGCATAAGTTTTTGTAGAACTTGTAAAATAAGAGAAAATGGTGGAAACTCGCAAAAATATCGTTGGTCCACCTTACGGTTTCAAAGGGTAAAAATTATTAGCTCGTTTGAAATTCTGAACTAAAACTGTAAGTAATAATAATAATATTTATTGGTGGTGTTTATACAGTAAATATTTCCACACGTCACAGTAAGGAAGTACAATTGCCACTTTATTATTCGGAGCCATCAAACTTGTAGTTCAAATACTCATCAATACTATAGAATGCTTTGGCACCAAGGAATTCTTTGCCGTCGGCTAGCCCAAATCTTTGTAAAAGTTTACCGTTTTGGTGGTGTTTACCTACTGCAGAGTTTTCTGTTTTACTCTCTTAGATTAGCTACAAAATTTTCTACTCTTTTTTTCTTTCTTTCTTACTCTTTCTTTCCACTCGCCAGTAAAAAGAAAACACTAAATGGCCATATAACTATATTGAAACATTAGAACATTTTTCCTAGCTTAAACGGTCAGAAATTGACAGTTCTCATTGGCATCTTCTATGTGCTCTTTTTCGGAGAATCTGAATCTGTTACCGGTATTTCCATAACATGTTAGATGTAAAAGCTACGAGGTCGCCATCATAGCCATGTTGATTCAGCAAGATCTAGTTACATGTGAATGTGAAAAATGAATGTAGAATTTTTGATTTTGACAGTTTTCTTGTAAAGTTATGTAAAAGTATAGAGTGGGACACGTCATTATTTTTCTTGTCTTCTATCTCATGCTATAAAAATCCAATATGGCGTCCATGAGAAATCAGAACCTGTACCTGTAATTCTGATAACAGATTCAGATTCTTCTGAAAAAGTGCCCATAGAAAATGCTAACGGAAACCGTTAAATTCTGACCGTAGGGGAAAAAGAGAACGAAATTTTTGAGTTACACCAAATTTAACCTACACTGTATCGCTCACCATTACAGAGATGCCATGGTGAACCACCCTGTACATACATAAACACCTTAAAGATTTTTTATTTCACATTTTTTACCAGTTTTACCCTACAAGAAAATGAACCTTTGAATTTGGCAAATTATTGTATTGAAATTGTGGGAAAAAATTCCTTAATACAAAATTTAATTCTAAATCCCAACCAATTTACAGATTTATATTAATATCAGAAATTTGATTCCTTTAAGACTAATCAATCAATGATTTTGTACAAATTCACTTTGAAAACTTAAAAAAAAAATAGAATTAACTTTGGACTACAAGTCTTCTCGTTCAAGGAATGGATTAAAGCCCTTGGCGCCTAGGTACAACTGGATGGTTACAATAGAGACGTTATTAGAGGTTTTCTTTCAGGAAAATGCATTTGGAAACCCATCGTTATTAAATTCTTCTCAGATGTATATTAAAACGACAGTTGTTGATACTGTTCCCGAACTGCCCTTGTTATTCAAAAAATATAATTCGAGCGCTCAACTAAACTCGATCTTTGCACCGAAAATTTTAATTCCCTTTTTCGATTTTTGATCTCTCCTCCATGGTTGAGAGACTTCATCTGTTAATTTTTTAGAAACTCAATCATGCCCTCTTTAATTAATGAGTTGCTCCCACACCCACAAACGAATCACCTTACAAAATGGCGATGTCTAATTGTTTATTGGTTAGTGTCTTTTGACTATCAACCCTAAACTCTTCATCTCCTTCTATTAAAGAAACCAAAAATTCTGCACATAAAATACCTATGTAATTGTCACTAATTAATAATTTACAAAGTAAATGCAAGTGCAAATCCGCTGAAAATATCACAGTTCAGGCTGCTGTTTATTTTCTAGAACGTCTTTAATTTAGTCCTGGCTTTAAGGAACTTGACAAAGACTTCATGAATATGGAAAATGATACAATGGATACGCGTTCTGCAGTTGAGCTAAGTGAAATTCGTTGCTTTAGTCTATGAGTGTACCTACATGTCGACAGAGGGCTCTGGGTGCTATGACATTGAGGAAGCACGTTTCTTCACCCCCTAGCGGTGCGCATATGTAACTAAAAATAATTTCTCATATTCTCTTGTCTACGAGCATATAATAAAATTACTCTCTGCGCTATATTTGCCTTATTAATTTATTAAATGCAAATTTTGTAGCGCTGAGTACCCGCACTGACCGGTAACTCATAAATTTAATATGTTTGGCAGTAATAAGACTACTATCACTACAATTGTTGATAGTTTATTGTACTACATCATAAATTTTACATTAAGAAAATAAACTTATACAGAATCGTTCACTACGTTCACTCCAAAGTCGTCACATAATATTAAAAATTAATTCAGGGAGTAAAGGAGGTTGTCGATAAGATTTCTTGGATCTCATTCGGTTATTTTTTTTCGCCCGCAGCACAGATCGGTACTTCTTAACCCTGTGAACCGCCAGCTTTCCCAATCGCAAGTACGGCTATGCAAGAAAACCTAAAAATCGTCAATTAAATGTACTCGGTGGTTCAAATTGGACACTAACTTTAGGAGATAGTGAAAAATGGACCTAGGTAAAAAAGGTTTTGCCAAAATCTTTAATAATAAAAAAAGTCATAGCTGATCTGTTTGTGCCTGTGATTTTCTCTTTAAAATTGAGCTCCAGATACCCAGGTCCATTTTTCCCCTTAAAATAGAGGGTGGTTCTATGAGAAGGTGTCCAATTTGGACCATCCTGTACGTACATGGGTGCAAACATTACTTACTTCGAGTTTGTCGCAGTTGCTCAGAAAATTGCATAGAAAGTGAGGTGCTTGACGGTGTATTTTTAGCGCGATAGTATTACACAGCTTAGCGCAAAACTTGGCGCCTTTTTCGTTACAATAACCGATCGCTATGAGCTTTTGGCTTACGATCGTCTTATCCTCCGATTGGGGGGTCGCGGTGCGGAACAGCGAACATTCGCATTGCACGTTGTCCTCAGGGGTTTCAGTGGCGAGTGTTTTTTTAAATTCGTTGGTACTGAGAAACTCATACAAATCGTTGACCGCAACGCTGCAAAGATAAATGTGGTCATTAGTTTCGAAGATAAAGTCGGTTTGTACTTACAAAACTGCGGAACCAATAATTAGAGCCAGTGTAATGCTATACATGGTTGTCTGGTGTAGTGATTAAATGGGAATGGGTTACCAGTGGGCGGGTTTTGTCCCAAGAAGTACCATTATTGGTGCCGCGTGCAGTTTGTTCGTATAGGTATAGCAGAGACAGACGTTTAATATGCACAATTTATCTTTTACGTTTTATCTAACTGAAGAATGTAGACATCGATGTTTATGATAATTGTGACTCAATGCACTGCATTTATAAACTTTTCAAAGTGGCCCTTTGTGTGATTCTGGGTTTGATTTATTATTCTTAAGATAAAAATCGGATAATGAACTCACAACTTTGTTTCATTTGCCTGACAAAAATGGGCCATTTAGATTGCGGATAGGGAACAACAACATGATTTTTGTGTTGGGAGAACTGCACAATTCATTGAATAAACACACTATATAGCCTTATGTTTGTGTGCTGAATCTATCTATCTTTATCTCTTTAATTTTAAGACCAGTCTCAATCAGTTGTTGTCCTTTTTTTACAACATACCTTGTACCGGGTGACCAAATAGAACTGTTCCTCGGCCATGTCTCGGAAACCGTTCGTCGTATGACTTAGGGGTAAAGAAAATTATCGGGTAAATCGGTCATGAAGAATCGTTCTAAAAATGACCAACAGAGGGCGTAACTGCCATCTTAAATTTTAAAATTGCATTTTCCTTAAATTTTTTTCACATTTTCACATTTTTAAAGAGAACCAGTTTAAACTTAACAGGGCTTATTATGTGTTACGAAACTTGAAATCATGTCTTGACATAAATTCATTAGTTACTGTGTATTACGCGCTCGCATATCCTCATTTAGCATACAACGTTGTTACCTGGGGGGCAGCTGTAGACAAAAACAGAGTCTTTATCCTACAAAAAAGGATAATGCGATTAATTTTTAATGTAAAACCGACAATTTCTCTTAGGAATGTTTTCATCAATAGGAAAATTTTATCACTTCCCAGCATTTACATCTATCAGCTTTGCATCTTCGTGAAAATGAATAGTCATATTTTTCATCCATTAAATGCTAAGCATGACTATCATACACGCAACAATGAGGTACTTACCATACCCTACCATTCCACAGCGAAGTATGAAAGGGGTCCATATTACAATGGAGTTAAAATGTACAATGCATTCCCTTTATATATTAAAAACATCACAAACATTAAGAAGTATCGAACGAGCCTAAAAAAATACTTAGTCGAACGTTGTTTTTATTCAATGAGTGATTTTTAATTGTAACATGTACTTTAGCGTTGTTTACACTGTTCCTATTTGACTTTTTAATATTTTAAATGTCCATAATTGTTTGAATGTATGACGATGTCTATGTCAAGGTACTTGATCACAGACAATAAAGTTATTATTATTATTATTATTATTATCTATCATTTTCGTAAAATCAAATACTCAGTTATTTCAAAAACAAAGATGGTGTGGGGCGTTCAATTGTTTTTGCAATAACCAGCTTTAACTTCTTAACCGCTTGACCGATTGTAAAAAATTTGGTATCGTTGAAAAGAGCATTCCTTGCGAGAATCAACCAAAATATAGTTAATTTAGTTGAATCCTTCTCCACCAGGGGGCAAGTTTTGACACTATGAATTCCAAATTCCTAAAAAAATCAAATGGAATGATATGACTTTTTCCTTATGTAAAAGTAGCGAAATAACACCCAAAAAGGCCAGTGAAAACCGTTTTTCAAAATCTCGTTCCTAACCTCAAATATTGGGAAAATGAGATTAATGATTTAATTAATTAAAATTCTTAAATTGTACCTTACACTTTTAGGTGGGCCTTGGAAAATTAAACCAATGAAACACGATTCATTATAAAATAATAACAGCCGTAATTTGTAAATTATTCTGAAGTGTTTACATTCAGAAAGTGCATTTTTTTGAATTTGTAATCTATTCTAAAATGCCCCACACCATCTTTGTTTTTGTTTTTACGAAAATGATAAACATGTTCTCTTTAAAAATGTGAAAAAAAATTTTTCAGTTTATTATGCCAAATTTAAAGAAACAGTTACGCCCTCTGGTGGTCATTTTTAGAACTTGAAAATATTTTCCACTGATTCTTCATGACCGATTTACTCAATAATTTTTTTTACCCCTAAGTCATACGACGAGCGCTTCCTGAGATATGGCCGAGGAACAGTCTTATTGGGTCACCTGGTACACAATAAAAGAGATAATGATAGTTACACTCTATATTTTAATATTTTTTTAAATCGTGTACATTTTCATTGCCCGGTCGTCATCAACATTTATGATTCATCTAGTTACAAAAATAAGCACACTACAACTACTAATACATACTACATTTATGAAGCTAAACTTTTAATTTTCGTGTACGCATTCGACTACTTCGGATTTCTTACAGCACAGATTGCCACGGTTCAGCCCGGTGTATTGCCACTCGGAACCACAAATGCGGCTGTGCAGAAAAACCTAAGGCACATCCGTTATTAGTTAGTTATCCATCTCAGATTAGTTACCTCTAAATTGTTGTAGTCTCCCAAATGACTGCAAAGGATTTTGGGCGACTTATCGTGCGCGGCAAGGGCCAAAGCTTTGCACATGTCGGTGCAGGTGGCTTTGCCTTCTTCGTTGCACTCGACCTGGAGGACGCTTTCAATCATGATTGCTGTGTGATCCGGGCACGGCTCCGAGGTGTTAAAAACGGAGCACTCGCAGTTGTTACCATCATGATATTTGGCAGTGGTACTTATTTGTTGCGGTCCACTCGATTCCTCTCCACACGCAATTCTATTGACAAGAGTTAATTATCAGTTTGAAGCACAATAGTTTAACTTACCTCACTGCAGAGCAGAAAATTACCACAAGTATAATTTTAAACATTGTAACTAGCATTGTAAGTTTTGAATTATGACTGCAGGTCAGAAGTCGGTTTGAAGGGGAAGGGTAGCATTTTTGTTTTTTATAGGTAGGTGGTCACTAAGTGGGCGGGGTTCGTGTCAAGAAGTGCCATTATTTGTACCGTGTGCAAATCAGAGTGTGAATTATTTCAGACAGACGTCCATTTGTTCCATGACACCTGCGTTATGACTCACTCTTGCATTGCAACTGATAACCGTAAGAATGTGAATATCATTTCAGACTCATTTAGCATACGGAAATTATGGTAATATAATTATTATTTAAACTAGCGCATTGTTGCATATTTGGAATCAGGGCCTCTGTTGTTTTTTTCTTCTAAGAACATTGCTGCTGCGATTCTCCCCTAGCGTCTTTCACTCTTGAGCCCCAAGTCTTGGATTTAGAGTTGAAGTCGCCAGCCAAGGTGATCCTGAAGTTACCATCTCGAACACACTTTTTTATTCCTTCCAGGTTGATCCGAAAGTGTTGGCATTTGGGGACAGATATATACTGATGAATTTCCATCCGCCTATAATAATCCAGGTAAAACCTTTTCCCGGGGATGGAAGTGTTGCAAGTATAACATGCGTTGTACACTTAGCATTTGTTCCAGTACCGTTGCCATAAATAAGCTGCCGTCTTTTGTTTTTTCCCTACAGAGAAAAACTCCAATTTGCTGTAACTCCTTTATTTTTGAAGCTAGAACAAAATCGCTTTAGCATTATTGAGGTACTTTTAACGTATAGAAGTCAATGCCGTGAGTCGTTTGTTTCTAGCCCTTTTAGTAACTGATGCGTTGCAACTCATGCTTGATTTTTTTGAAATGGAAATTATAGTTGGCCATGGTTTAAAAATAATTGCTTATCTTACAAGCTTTTCGAAAATGTATGATATGTCATACTTATTTTCAATAATAAGTTCTTTTGTTTATTAATACATGTTGTCTGAAAGTAACACTTGACAGCTGTAGTTTGGAGAAGTTGTTTGTCGAAATAGATTTGTCTGCACTCTTTGTACGAAATGCAGAAGCAAAAAAAGGCGCGGGATTTGTCATTGGTTTCTTAAGAAGGAAAATGAGGTCCCAAATTTTAGCAATAACGTTACTTGGAGTGATGAAGCACACATATCAAGTGCTGGAATTTTTAATAGACAAAATAACCTCTATTGGGCAAATGAAAACCCCCATCTACCTATATCTATACGAGCCCAAGGAAAATTTAGGGTTAATGTGTGGTGTTGCCTGAAATGACATACAATATTATATTTTTAGAGGCACACATACATCTGACAGATATCTCCAAACATTAGAGCACAATCTGCAAGATTTAGTTGATAATATTATTTAAGAAGAGAGACGAACGGTTATTTTTCAACAAGACGGTGCCCAAGCTCATAATGCGTTAATTGTTCGAAATTATTTAAAATTAAAATGATCTCGTATCTAATAATTGAATGGGGACGCAGGGACCATTGGATTTCTTTTTGTGTGTGTTTATTTAATATAATATTTATAAATGTCCTTCTACAATTGAGGAAGAATTGCGGGAAAATGTAGCAAGATCGTTTGAAGCAGTTCAACTAATATGTACAAATCCTGAATGCAACAAGATCTTTGAGAAAGAGGTGCAACATGTACATTTCCCAAAATTGAGGTCACTTTGAAAAATATTTGATTTTGTGCAATATCAGCTAGTTCACTGTTTTGTCAACTGTTTCCTTAAAATGTTGATCAAGCTTATCTTTCAAGTGTTTCATAGGCGACTACATTTTTTGTTATTTATTTTCAGGCAACATGTATTAATAAACAAAATTAATTGTAGAGAACTTAGTATTGAAAATAAGTATGACATTTGATATATTTTCGAAAAGCTCGTAAAACAAGCAATTTTCAAAAACCATGGCCAACTATGATTTCCATTAAAAAAAGCAACTTTGGGGAGTTACAGTGCCTCAGTTACTAAAAGTGCTTGAATCATATACTAAAGCGATTTTGTTCTACCTTCAAAAATAAAGGAGTTAGTTAATTCCATCGAAATTGAACCACACTGTATATTTAGCAAATATTGATGCTACTGTTACTGAGCAGCCTCTTCCCTACGCAAAGTGAGCCTAGGCTAAATTTGACTGCTTCCTATTCACACTACTGATACACAACAGATGAAACGTCCTGTTTTTGTTCACTGGCACATACTTCCCGATTGGTTGTTCTCAAATTGCAGTTGACTGGCCAAAACGCACACAAAACAGTACTTTTCTTAAATGTTGAAATACATCGCAAAGAAACTTTTTATAACATAACCGTGTGGACAATAAAACAAATGAATATTTTAGCACTATATTTAATATTTCCAAAATCGTATACATTCTCATTGCCAGGTTGTCATCAACATTTGGGTACTTATCAAAATATCAATAATAAACAAAACTTAAAATACATACTAAACTTATAGAGTAAACAGCTTAAACTTTAATTCTGTTGATTGCACTCGATTACTTCAGATTTCTGACAGCACAGATTGCCACGATTCAGACCGGTGAATTGCCAATCGGAACCACAAATGCGGCTGTGCAGAAAAACCTAAGACACATTAGTTAGTTTACACATTTTAACACTCGAAATTATTACCTCGAAATTGTTGCAATCTCCCAAATGGGCGCAGAGGATTTTGGGCGACTTTTCATGGGCGGCGAGCGCCAAAGCTTTGCACAGGGCGGCGCAGGTGGCTTTGCCTTCTTCATTACACTCAACGTGAAGGACGCTTTGAATCATGATCGATGGGTGATCCGGGCTCGGCTCCGAGGTGTTAAAAACGGAGCACTCGCAGTTGTTAGCATCAGTTGTAGTTTCGTCGACAGTTATTTGTTGCGGTCCACTCGAATCCTCTCCACACGCAATTCTGTTGACAAGCGAGTTAATTAACAGTTTGAAGCACATTAGTTTAACTTACCTCACTGAGGAGCAGAAAATTACCACGAGTATAATTTTAAACATTGTCACTTTTGAATTGTGACTGCAGGCCAGAAGTCGGTTTGAACGGGAAGGGTGGTATTTTTGTTTTTTATAGGTAGGTGGTCACTAAGTGGGCGGGACCCATGTCAAGAAGTGCCATTATTTGTACCGTGTGCAAATCAGGGTGTGAATTATTTCAGACAGACGTTCATTTGTTTTATGACACCTGAGTTATGGCTCAATCTTGCATTGCAACTGATAACCGTAAGAATGTGAATATCATTTCAGACTCATTTAGCATACGGAAATTATGATAATATAATTATTATCTAGTAGGTATATATTTGAACTGTTTTTTGGGGAGCGTCAAAGAAACCGACTAATTTCGAGCCAGCTTTTGTTTGCAGATTTTCTATATTGATTTTTGTGTTTATTTTGAGTGGGCGGGGTTTCAATTGAGGTTGCTCTACCAACCCAATCCACTATATGCTTCGAAATTCTCCGATCAGGGATCTTCTCGGTCATAGCCATCATCTAATTAAAACAGCACACGAGCCGGCGAAAATATAAGACTCAACCTTTCCCCAATGAAGCATTAAAACTTCACCGAAAATGTGTAAGCAAGTCGGTCTGCTTTTTCTAGTGCAGCAGGGGCTCCAGAGCTACGAGAAAGAGAGTCCTCGATTTAAATGCCAGTTGGGGGATTTTTTTCAGGATAGGGAAATCACTGCTTAGTTCTATAGCAGGGGTTGTGTGGGTCTTCCACCCACTAAAACCTTTTTAATGTCATCCACAGTTTCATCTCCAACCCGGAACCACGTGAGCACTACTTTGGATTGGGTGCCCCAGGTTCGCACACCCGTTGTTAGCCATGGTAAAATAGTTTTCTTCTTCTCCTTTCCTTTCGCATTGTTTTTTCATTCTGTCACTGTTATTTCCTTCCAATGTTTTTTCGATTTTATATACCGTTTCCACTTCAGGCCATTCCTTGATTTTATTGAAGAGAATCGACCGTTCTCCATCCCACTCCGGACATCTGAACAGAGTGGGCTCAGGGGTGTCGTGTTTGTAATTGCAATACCAGCACCAGGGTTTTCGTTTCTGTCCTATCCGGTGTAGGAATGATGAAAAGCAGCCTTGTCCAGACAGTACTTGCGAGGGGTAGAAGTCTATCTCCAAACATTAGAGCACATTCTGCAAGATTTAATTGATAATGTTATTTTAGAAGAAAGACAACTGGATATTTTTCAGCAAGACGGTGCGCAAGCTCGTAATGTGTTAATTGTTCGAAATTATTTAAAATTAAAATAATCTCGTATCTAATGATTGACGCAGGGACCATTGAATTTCTTTTTGTGTGTTTTTTTTTAAATAAAATTATAAATATCCTACAACTGAGGAAGAATTAGGGGAAAATGTAGCAAGATCGTTTGAAGCAGTTCAACTAATATGTACAAATCCTGAATGCAACAAGATCTTTGAGAAAGTGGTGCAACATGTGCATTTCCCAAAATTGAGGTCACTTTGAAAAATATTTGATTTTGTACAATATCAGCTAGTTCACTGTTTTGTCAACTGTTTCCTGTAATTGTTGATCAAACTTATCTTTCAAGTGTTTCATAGGCGACTACATTTTTTGATATTTATTTTCAGGCAACATGTATTAATAAACAAGATTTATTGTAGAGAACTTATTATCGAAAATAAGGAAAGCTTGTAAAACAATCAATTTTCAAAAACCATGGCCAACTATGATTTCCATTTAAAAAAAATCAAGTTGGAGGAGTTACAGTGCCTCGGTTACTAAAAGTGCTTGAATCATATACTAAAGCGATTTTGTTCTAGCTTCAAACATAAAGGAGTTAATTCCATCGAAATTGAAGCACACTGTATAATAAGCAAAAATTGATGCCCGAATCGGTATTCAAACCAGGGACTCTTGCTACTGTTACTGAGCAGCCTCTTCCCTACGCAAAGTGAGCCTAGGCTAAGTTTGACTGCTTCCTATTCAAACTACTGATACACAACAGATGAAACGTCCTGTTCTTGTTCCCTGGCACATACTTCCCGATTGGTTGCTCTCAAATTACAGTTGACTGGCCAAAACGCACACAAAACACTACTTTTCTTAAATGTTGAAATGCACTGTAAAGAAACCATATAACATACCATGTGGACAATAAAAATGAGGAATATTTTCGCACTATATTTATTGTTTCCAAAATCGTATACATTCTCATTGCCAGGTTGTCATCAACATTTAGGTACTTATCAAAATATCAATAATAAACAAAACTTAAAAATACATACTAAACTTATACAGTAAACAGCTTAAATATTAATTCTGTTGATTGCATTCGATTACTTCAGATTTCTGACAGCACAGATTGCCACGATTCATGCCGGTGAATTGCCAATCGGAACCACAGATGCGGCTGTGCAGAAAAGCCTAAGACACGCTAGTTAGTTACACATTTTAACACCCCGAAATTATTACCTCGAAATTGTTGCAATCTCCCAAATGGGCGCAGAGGATTTTGGGCGACTTTTCATGGGCGGCGAGCGCCAAAGCTTTACACAGGGCGGTGCAGGTGGCTTTGCCTTCTTCATTACACTCAACGTGAAGGACGCTTTGAATCATGATCGGTGGGTGATCCGGGCTCGGCTCCGAGGTGTTAAAAACGGAGCACTCACAGTTGTTAGCATCAGTGGTAGTTTCGTCAACCGTTATTTGTTGCGGTCCACTCGAATCCTCTCCACACGCAATTCTGTTGGCAAGCGAGTTAATTAACAGTTTGAAGCACATTAGTTTAACTTACCTCACTGAGGAGCAGAAAATTACCACGAGTATAATTTTAAACATTGTCACTTTTGAATTGTGACTGCAGGCCAGAAGTCGGTTTGAACGGGAAGGGTGGTATTTTTGTTTTTTATAGGTAGGTGGTCACTAAGTGGGCGGGACCCGTGTCAAGAAGTGCCATTATTTGTCCCGTGTGCAAATCAGAGTGTGAATTATATCAGACAGACGTCCATTTGTTCTATGACACCTGCGTTATGACTCAATCTTGCATTGCAACTGATAACCGTAAGAATGTGAATATCATTTCAGACATTAGCATACGGAAATTATGATAATATAATTATTATCTAGTAGGTATATATTTGAACTGTTTTTTGGGGAGCATCAAGGAAACCAACTTTTGTTTGCAGGTTTTTCATATTGATTTTTGTGGTTATTTTGAGTGGGCGGGGTTTCAATTGCGATTGCTCTACCAACCGAATTCACTATATGATTCAAATCTTTCAGATCGGGGATCTTCTCAATCATACCTAATTAAAACAACACCCAAGCCTGATGCGAAAATGTAAGACTTAACCTTTCCCTAGTGAAGGGAACCGAAAATGTGTAAGCAAGCCAATCTGCTTCTTCTTGTCGACCAGGAGAACGAGAGGCCTTGATTTGACTGTCGGTTGGGGATGAAAGTGTCGTAAGTGTAACATGTGCAGACTTGCCATTTATTTAATAGTTTTAATTGGCTCTTTTTTTTAAATGGACCAATTAAACCCCCTGAATATTTATCAAAAATTCATGCCCAAACTAAGTACTTTTACGGCACACCTTTTTCACCGTGTAAATCGAGCCTAGGTGCCCCCTATTGAAACTGCGGATAATTGTTTTTTGGTTAACCGGTTACCTTCCAAATGGTTGACTGATCAAAATGAATACAAAACAATAAAAAAGATGAATACTTTGACAAATTATGTTTTAATATTTTAAAACTCGTGTACATTATCATTGCCAGGTCGTCATAAACATTTAGGTACTCAACAAATTACAATTATAAACAAAACTCAAAATACCTACAAACTACATTTAAGTATAAAGTAATCAGCTCAAGCTTCAATTCTCTTGATCGCACTCGATTACTTCAGATTTCTGACAGCACAGATTACCACGCTTCAGGCCGGTAAAACGCCAATCGGAACCACAAATGCGGCTGTGCAGAAAAACCTAAAGCACGTCCATTAGACACGTTCAAGACTCGAGATTGTTACCTCTAAATTGTTGTAATCTCCCAAAAGGCTGCAGAGGATTTTGGGCGACTTATCGTGAGCGGCGAGTGCCAGAGCTTTGCACGTGTCGGTGCAGGTGGCCTCGCCTTCTTCATTACACTCGACATGAAGGACGCTTTGAACCATGATTGCTGTGTGATCCGGGCACGGCTCCGAGGTGTTGTAAACGGAGCACTCGCAGTTGTTTCCTGCGTGATATTCGGCAGTGGTAGTTTCGTCGGCTGTTAGTAGCTGTGATCCACTTGAATCCTCCCCACACGCAGTTCTATTGACAACTTAATATTAACCGGTTTTAAGCTCAAATTTTTTAACATACCTCACCGCATACCAGAAAATTACAATCACTATAATTTTATACATTGTTATGACTTATGAAGTACCTACTCACAGGCCAGAACTTGGTTTGAGGGGACGTCACTTTGGCTTTTTATAGGTAGGTGGTCACTAAGTGGGCGGGATCCGTGTCAAGGAGTGCCATTATTTGTACCGTGTGCAAATCGCAGTTTGGATTGTTTCAGACAGACGTCCATTTGCTCTATCTCATTTCTTACACCTGATTAATGATTCAAATATTATCGTAACTATCAATATCTATTGTGGTTTATTTAGCATAGACAAAGAGGTAATCATACTTGAGTATATATGAATTGTCAGCACATTTTTGGGCATGTTATCAGCCAGGCAAATCTATCATGTTGTTTTTGCTACGACTTTTAAGGGCGTTCCATTTAATAAATAAAAAATCATTAAAGTTGAGTTGACAAGGGAGATATGCTCAATACTATACAGAAAAGAATCGTTTACCGAGAGTCTACTGGATTTCCAGGTACAGGATCGGGCCCTGAGGGCTGTTGCAATGTTGCCCCATTTATTATCTATTCCTGGATTAAGTTGGTAGGTATAGTTTTTTGAAAGTTCAGGTGTCAAGCTTCTTGACATGTTAAAGATTTAAAACAGTAATAAATAAAACTAGTTTAGTCCAAGTTATAGTGTTTTTATTTATACACAACTACAATAAGAGCGTCCTTACGAAGACTGTGAACAACAGGGTGGTTTAACAACAGGAAATAATGCAGTCTGCCTCTACTGGAAGGCAGAGCGGATTCTCACTACCGCATTCTTTTTGGAATGGACGATATATCCATCTTCACCTATGGATCCGAACTGGTCACGGTAAGTTAAACAACCACATACACCATCCAATGTTGAGGTCTCCAGGTCAAGCATGGTCAAGCTTTCAGCCACTTCTTCTGCAAGCTTTCCCCTGGGGAGATGGACAACTTTAATCATGGCGGTAGTACAAAGGGTCCAAAAGGAAGGTCTATGTGGGCGCGGCCGTAAGTTCACTATCTGCTTAAAATCCAGCATCTTGCATATCAAGCCTTAAGGAAGTGCATTTTTCTGTTTCTCGAACTGAATTTGCCCAAAAAGTAACCAAAAGAGAAAGAGCACAACATTTATTTCCTATACGGTTATAAAGTATACAGTGGATATTTATTAAGAAGTAAGACATAAGGATATTTCGTATTTCCCTATGTCTACTTTTAAAAGACATAATGACTTCTGAAGAGCGCCTAATTTTATGCACCTAATAAAAAATATATATAAATATAAAAGAAATATAAACATCTGGCTGCCATATTAATTAGTTGGAATATTATTGCTTTAACAGAAAATAAATCGCTTTCCATCAATTCAAAACGCCAATTGAATACATTGTTTTAAAAAGTTATCTTGGTTGCATAAAATTGGGCGCTCTTCGAAAGGATTTGGTCATTTAAATGTAGATATAGGAAAACAATACACATAAATCTCTATGTCTACTTCTTAATGAATAGTACTGTATACATGGAAGTTTTCTTAAATGTATACATATGGACTATTTATACTTCAAAAAATTATCAAAGTCCTCGTGTCAGATCGAAGGAACTTCAGCGCATTTTTATGTGGCAGATCAGTATGCTAATTACTATTAGCCCAGATAAAATATACTGTGCTATTGGTCAGTTTTGACTTCACTATCCATAAGATCTTGTCTATGGCAACCACATTCCTTTTCAGTAAGAGCTTGTCGGGGGCTACCGCATTCCCTTTGCCGGTACCCGCTTCCGACGTCCCGTTCATCCGCTATTCGCATTTTGGTGCATTTGGCGCTTATTACGCGGCCCCCGTATGTTCATGTACACCTCCCAATGAATATTCATTGTACACTCCTCTTCTTTCTACAAGTGCGCATTTGTTGCCAGCCAGCCCGCCAAAGTGAGGTTTAAAAGCTACTTTTTACCATGTGGACTGAACGGGCCAATAGTGAAAGGAAAAAGGGCCTTCAGGGTCTCTTACGGTTACGCATCTGATTGGTTCTTTCAACAGAAGCGATCGTGATTGCATTCAAATCAAATTGGAAGAACCAGTCAGATGCATAACCGTAAGAGACAGCTTGTCCTCTTAGTTTTCCCTTCTCTCTCACCTGCAGTATCCGCGCTTGTCATTGACACGACTATAGGCAACAAACACTACACGCCACAAACGAGATTTGTTTTTAAAATTCTTTCTTCAAGAATTGAATACTTAAACATGAAATCCCCGGTTATGAAACTTTTCAAATTTTTGAAAACCCTCTACGATTTCCGTATTAAAACCATAGACATGCGAGATGATTAAACTAAGGGCAAAATTAATTAAATACGCGTTCGGCAAAGTTCGTGATGGCGTCATACAAAAATTACATTTCAATCGTTCGCTACGTAACCTTTGCATACCTTAAATGTTATTACTGATGTTTTTTTTATAAATTTTGACTTAAATTTGCATTACTCTAAATGTGTGCACAACAATGGACACTATGAAAATTTTCGGTAGTTGAGCGAGGGTCCACGCTGTATACTTATACAACTTACGACGATGCACACAATTTTGAGAGTTGACAACCGCGTAATTTTTAGGAGGGGGAAAAGCTACCTGCGCCATCTAAGAGCAGGAACGTTAGTTACGTTAGGTCGGTTGCGGTCGCGAACGCGTCGCTCCGTAAACATTTGTCGTTATTTTTGTGTTATTTAATGCAGGTAGTAATCTTTGCATTTCCTTATGATGTATTTGTGTTTTGTATGCAGCATTTTATATTTTTTGTGAGTTTCAATCTATGCTTTTGAAATTGACTTGATTTAACCTTTATGCAGAATTACACATTTGATACAGATATCCTTCTGTTTGTAATCGTTTACGTTTTTTGTATAATGCTTGCTTAATATGTTTATGTTTTGATTACATGCTCTTGACCAGAAGTAATATTCATATAAATTTTGATTTTTCTTGTAATATATGGGGAATTTACCGATTCGTTTGATGTATGTACCTGACTTGTTGTTTGTAATTAACATTTTCTCCGTGAATGAAGCAGTCACGAGGGTGGTAAAAAATCATTTGAGCTACGACACCTAATTCCGCGATTGTCTTCGACATTCAACTGTAGGCTCGAAACCCCGAAACAAGGGGCGAGTTATCTATCTTGGGGAAAGATTACGCTAATCAAAAACTCTTCGGTTTAGAATCTATATGCGACAAATGAGTTACGATTCGCTAATTTCCACATATCTTGCCGTTACTCGAATTGGTCTACAAGGCCATGTAATTTTTCATCTTTTAACAAAAGGATTTTATTGCACCAAAGATAAGTCACATCCTGTGTATTTCACCCTTTCTTTAGAATGTTTGCTACCTGCTTAGGTATCCTAAACTTGCTTTTAATTTTGACTACAACTACGTGACTGTGCGAGGGATTGCCGAACAGACATGGGACGACTCTAGGACTACCGTAGACAAGATTTTGACGGCTGTGGTGTGTACCAGGTGGACGAGTCGGATGCTTCAAAAAAAGAAAAGCATCGAAAATGCTGGTGGGTTTCTGCGCCGAAGAGGGTGACGAATTGTTAGTTTCATATATAACCGAAAACGACACTTGGGCCCACTAATTCACGCCAGAGACTAAGGGCCAATCATCAGCAGCTGTCTATTCCTTTTTGTGCAACTCTGTGGGAAAGTGGAACGTTGCGGGTATAAAAAAGCTTTCAGAGCTGAAAAGTGCTTTGATCCTGACGGAGGCTACGTCAAAAAAATAGGTAAAAGTGAAAGATTTCAGAATCTGTATGCAATAAAATGATCTTTACTATGTTACAAAGCAATGGGGACCCTTCATTTACGACTGACCCTTGTATATATTCTTTCAAAAAGCAGAGTGGGAATGCCGTTCCCGCCACACTACACATTGTACGAATTTACAAAAATGTGACTAGCACAGGTTTAAATCGGTTTAGACCGATCGACATTTTGTTTGATTCGGATTCTTGGTGCTCCAAAACGTGTATTTCCGTAAAAAAAACGGTGGGGGGTCATTTTTTACCCCAATATAATCACTCTCTTACTAACGTGCGGGTGTGTCTCGTCTTTGAATACTAATAGTCCGTGAGCGGTGGATTGATGATCCACGTAGCCGTCATAATTGCATACGGTGAGTTACCAAAAAGCTATTCGCTGGCGCATGTACATACAAATGAACGGAATTTGGAAACAATTCTCCGTGTCAATTATTTTGGATCACCCGATACATAGTGGTTTTCGATATTGTGGTGCCATCTATCGGTACTTAACAGTGAAACTGAAAAGCTTTCTACTATCAAAAATCAGTTTGAAGTTTTTAAAACTTTTGTAACGGCTTTTGCCTTTTGACTGTTGTCTTGTGTTGAAGGTGGAAGTGTATCGTAGATCGCTTTATATACTATTTTTAAGGCCCGTAAAATGTCGAAAGAAGAAGATAAACACGAAATCCCCGAGATAATCGTCGATACTAATACGAAAATTACTTACAAGAAAGGTAGATTCTTTGGAAAGGTAAGAGCTTCACGTGTTTGGGCGGTTTTTAATGCGTTTTGGGTGTGCTTGATTACTAATGCGAAACGTCTCCAGGGAGGATTTGCGAAATGCTACGAAATCACCGATACCAGCAACAATCGAACTTATGCCGGGAAAATCGTTTCGAAGAAGTTAATGTCCAAGCAAAATCAGCGGGACAAAATGACCCAAGAGATACGAATTCACAAGTCCTTATCTCACAAGCATATTGTGGGATTTTACGGTTTCTTCGAAGATAGTCTGAATGTGTACATTGTTTTGGAATTATGCAGGCGGCGGGTATGCTAATTTATTTCATTTATAGTGAAAAGTCCATTAACTTATCGATTTGCAGTCGATGATGGAACTCCATAAACGACGTATGACACTATCGGAACCCGAAACACGATTTTATATGAAGCAAATTTTAAACGGAGTTCATTATTTACATAACAATAAAATTATACATCGCGATTTAAAGTTGGGAAACCTATTCTTGAACGACGACCTTCACGTAAAGATCGGCGATTTCGGTTTGGCCGCCCGCATCGAA